GGGTAGGGGGGGAAGGGTGGAAGAGGGGTGGCGACAGTGTCCCAGGTTGCTAAGAGCTCTAGACAATCTGTGATGCTCTGTCCGGCATCTCTCTGAGCTCATTGACGTCATTGGTTTGGCAGGGAGCTGAGCAGGATGCTCTAGCTGGCAAAGCTCCTGGCAACCCATTAACTTCAGTGAGCTGGGCAGGAACGGACATAGAGCCGCTGACAGCACGGCTCTAACACAGCCACCTGACCCCCTGCATCGAATCTAGACAATCTGTGATGCTCTGTCCGGCATCTCTCTGAGCTCATTGACGTCATTGGTTTGGCAGGGAGCTGAGCAGGATGCTCTAGCTGGCAAAGCTCCTGGCAACCCATTAACTTCAGTGAGCTGGGCAGGAACGGACATAGAGCCGCTGACAGCACGGCTCTAACACAGCCACCTGACCCACTGCATCGACCGTACCATCAGCAGCACCCGCTGTACCCACTTCCCCCCATTCTACTGCTGCAGGTGGCATATGGGGTAGGGACTGTGCTAAATACACCCATTACACTTCTTACAGGCATTCTTTTACAAAGCAATAATTTCATATACCTGGCACCTTGTCCACAAGAGTTTGATAGAATTTGCTGTTTTTCCTATAGCAATCAACCAGATTCTTCTTAGGAAAGTTTAGGAAAGGAAAGGGTAGGAAAAATCTGATCGGATGATGAAAGAAAATTCTCCTTTCTTACACTATGGGGTCTATTCACAAAGCTGCCGAAGGATCTGGCCGTAGCTTTGGCCAATCCTTCGGCTGGCTTCGGCCCCAGGACCCCTTCGGTTCAGGAGAACCGAGGGGGTGCTGTACGGGCTATTCACAATAGCCCGTACAGCTCCCGATCATGGCTGAGCAGCTCAGTCGAGCGCTGAGCCGTGCTGAAAGCCAAAGCTGGCCGAGCGGCTGGCCATTGGATGAGACCCATTGTAGTGGTACCAGTAGTGTACACAATACCGAAATGTCGTTTTTTTTTTTAAATTGTCAGATACAACAGTAATTGAGCTATAAGTTATATACTACTTTCCAGTAGGTATATAGGTTTACTGTTGCTGGATCCAAAAACACAGTGGATAGTCTGTGTTTAAGCACTATCACTAAATTTGTGTTGTGTCTGGTGCTCTCCTTAAACTATCTACTTATCAATCAATACTTTGGTTATGCAAAAGTATATTAGTATACCCTTTATATACTTTATGTGGTACTTTATATTGTACCATATCCTTAAAAAGTGCAGAAAGTTTCCAAAAGCCGATCGTGAAAATGTCAAATTCATTAACTTGTGAAAAAGTAGAAGTTAGCAAATCCCTATGTTATATTTACTCCTAAACACTCAAAAGCTACTTTTGGACCTGTTAATTTGTGTTTTTTTTTAATCAGTAAGAAAGCGAGGAACATATGTGATCATCTGAAGAGCTGCAACTTAATGAAGTAGAACACAAACAATATAACATAAAAATCTATGGTTCATTACGCTTTATCCCCTACAAAACTCTGAAACAAAATGAATCAAGGTGGAGAAATAGACTTACTAATAAGAGACTTGGCAGGCAATACTTTCATTTAACATAGTATTATAATGAACATTCTCATAATGTGTATGCAGAGAACTGTGAGCGACAATGTTATTTTTGGCACACTTGGAAGTCTTTCACAGTTCCCACGCACTAAACATTCTCAGGTGCTTACAGCACTTTATAAATGAATCACTGCATTCACACTAATACTGTGCTGGCACCAGTGTGAATTGCAACTGATTTCCTGCTCTGCTAGTATACATGTCACATACCTACTGCTGCACTATAAAATGAATGTTTTACCCATCTGTAAGCTAAAGCAGTGATGACCTTAAATACAGAAAAATATCTATTAACTGTATAATGAATGAGCATCAAGCCAAGCCAACCTTAGCAAAGAGGCAAATAGCATTTGCCATGGATCCATAGAAATAAAGGATGTAAATAGTACCATAGATTCAATGGGAAATTGTTTTGCCTCTCTCTACTGGAGGGATCCCCTGCTAAGGATGCCTCATTAAATAATAACGGTATTTAATACTAAGGCACACTAAGGTGCCTACTCTACACAACTGGTGCAACAGGTAAGTAGAGGTAAGACAATGTTTATTTGACTACATATTTATTTCTGTGACTTCATTTGGACTTACTGTATTATCTCTGAAAAAAAACAAAAAGACAAAGATGTTTTTTCATAGTGTGTTCTGTAACTTGCTTCAACAAAACAGCTAACACCATTCTGCAGTTTAACAACGGTCAGAATCATAAAATAAAATTTCAGTAGAATAAAAGTTAACTAGAGTGGTTTTGTACTACTGCATTCCGCTGCTTAAGGTCAATAAATCATAAGTTACTTCTGTATGCTGTCTGTTTTGCACTCTTGAACTTATTGATAATTGAAAGGTAAAGCCTTTGCATTAGGCAGGATACAAGTGATGAAGCTATAGTCTCAACCAAGTTCATCCCATTTTTAATGTTTTACAGCTTACTGGGTGGACAGCTGAAGCAGGATGTCTTATGTCTTCATTCTGAAGGTTTAGACAACTACATACCTCACTAATCATCACAAAACTTCTAATCGAAAAGCAGTAATATAGTCAGGTAACTTTTGTGAATGACTCCTATTGCCTTTGAAGTGGTGATGGATATGCATGGAATAGACGGCACGAAGATCACAAATAAATTCATGGAGTATAATTTATTCCTAAAGCTTATTATGCTTAGCAATATCTACATCCCTAAGTGTTAGTTTTGCAACATTTTTTATTGTTGGAAACAATGTGGAGTATGAAGTAATTACCCTATAGAGGTCAACTCCAATGAAAACTGATTGTTGGCAAGTTAAATCATCTGCTGGCTTCCTAAAGAAACAGCAATGGGAAAATCTAGCTGCAGGAGAGTGACACCTTTGTTAAGGTGCTGTGCCAAGAACATTATAACATAGAAGCCTCAGAATGTTTTAGTGACTGTATACACATGTGTTTTAAATGTTAGAACTGCTCTTTTCTCCATACAAGTCATTGAGAATAAAAAATCAGTTTGGTGCATCTTAGAAGGAGGTCAAATGCAGATCAGAAGTACCTGTATAGAAACCCAGATCAAATGCAGATCAGAAGCAGTGGCATAACAATCGCCATAGCAACCCAGGCGGCTGCTATGGGGCCCGTGCACAGGGGGGCCCGGTATCCCTCTGATGCCGCCTGGGTCGCTATGGCGTCTCGGGTGCTGGCTGTCACTGACATAGCTCAGCAGCTGCTGTGAAGGAGAGCGTCCCCCCTCACAGCCGCTGCGGAGCTGTGTCTTTGACAGCTAGCAGATGCAGCAAAATAGGCCGGTTACACCGGCATTTTCAGTAAAGGAGGCGGGGCCTGTTTAACAGCAACCCCGCCTCCTCTCACATCACTGGCCAGCGATCTAAGAGCAGGTGGGGCAAGTGATGTAAGAGGAGGCGGGGCCCGTCGATAGGAGGCGGAGCCCAGGAACGGAAGAGAGGGCAGGGGCCCGGCGGCGGCGGCGACCACGGAGGTGACAGGTAAGAGGTGTACAGCGCAACTGAGACCTTGCAGAGCCCACCATAGACATTCTATGGTGGGCTCTGCAAGTGGCATAACTAGCAATCACGGGGCCCCATACAAAATTTTGCTATGGGGCCCTGTGTTTTCTAGTTACGCCCCTGATCAGAAGTAAAGAAATTCAGGTAGAATTTAGCAGCAACTCAAAGTGGTCTCAAATACAAGTTGAATGTGCCTGAATGTGTACTGCTTTTTGCCAATCAAGTATGGGTGGATTTAGTTTGCTCTTTTGTCAAGTACAGCCATGAGTTTTACATAACAGCAGGATAGTAAAAATGTCAAACAAAAGGTTTGGAAAAGTCAAATGACATAAATGAAGAGAATGGCTATTTACTGTCAAAGAAGCACCCAGAATTGTACCTTCTCTCGAGGTGATGCTGAGCTAGAACTAAATCTTCTTGGCAGTCTTGAAGCATTGGCTGAAGCTCCTCCTGAGGGGATGGAGTGAGTGTGGCAGTAGACTGGTGGCTGTAGGACACGGCAGCTGGAGAAGAAGCAGCACCTCTAATTGGGGGTGTAGGACCTCTCTCATCTTCTTCTTCTAGCTCATCTTGCTGGAGATACATTCTTGTTGGTGGCATGGGACATGGTAGTTCTCTCTCATAGCTTGTAATATATTTGAAAATAAGACTGAATTTTAGAATACACACTATTTTTATATACAGTATGCAACCTAAGTCATAATATTGTACTTCCCTTTGTAAAAGTGTAATTCCTTGGCTCATGTGACATGAAAATGTTTGTAAGAACAGGCAGCATCACTAGGTGTATAAATATTTGGGACACATATTTGAAGCTATTTCAAATAATGATCAATATATTTTCAGCATAATTAAGGAGAGTGACTAAACCCCCACTGAAACATTTTTGTAGTATAAGCTTATGATTAAAGAGCACATGTCATAAGAGATATATGGGGGGTTGCCATTGCATGGTTCCTTCTGAAAATGCTAGTTGGCTGGTTCTTTTTGGATTCAATATTTCTGAGACATGGGTACAGTTACAGACAATGTTACTTGCACATCATCTGACACATCAGGTCAATTATCAGCAGTTGTGAATTGACCCAAAACTTTTATTGCCCTTAAACCAATCCATGTTAATAAGGGTGATTAATATTATCCAATAGATTAATAGCTGCATTTTAAGCTAACAACATTTTCTTAAATTATTTAGAGACCCCTCACCCCTATCATTTTGTTCCCATAGCCCCAAGTGGTATGTATACCCCTGATTATGAACCCTTGATCTATACATATTTGTTTTTTTACCTTTCATCAGCACTCAGAGGATACTCCTCACCACCCCCATGTGGAGGTGGATGTGCTGGGGGTGGTGGCAGCAGATCGGCCCAGTTCATTCCAGCTTGTTTAGATACTTTGGGTCCACGTGTTCCTTTTTTATGACCTTGGCTCCCTGCAACAAAAAAAGGGATGCTAAGTACATAGCACAGGTCTGGCGCTACCAAAATCTTTAGTAAATCATTAGGAAAAATGATGAGACATAAATTACCCAGAAACATATTTATTAAGTTAATAGCTAATAAATACCTAAAATTCCATAAAGTCACAAATGAATTTTACTAGCAACACCATTTAGAGTGATCTTCCTCCAGCTATTAATTGCATTATAGATTATCATCTAAAACAAATGAGCTGTAGACATATTTTCTCAAGTGCTTTCTTTTACTATTTAATTGCTGCAGCCCAAAATACAATCTGATCCTGATATGATCTATTAACGTTTCACTGTTGCATTAATTCACTGAGTATACATCATTTGTACTTGTCCAAAAAATTGTTTTAGGCAAAATTTAATTATTTTTTTTCACTTAGGAAAGCAGCGCCAGACAAGCATTTAATTGTTGCTGCAAAAGGGAAATTTATCCTATGCTAAAGTAACAATTTCATTATGGGGCTTAAAAGAGCAATGAAGGGGCAATTGGAGGAACTACCACGGACATGAGGGAGGGTACGTTCACTTCCAAGTCACAAAGCTGGATGGCACTTTAACTGTTTGCCCATTCAGGTTAACATTAATGGCAATCCAATAAGTAGCACACCCTTTGCTCTCTTTCCGCTCCTTTAATCTCCGGGGAGCAAAGAGAATTACCCTGAGCTTCCAGGTACAGGGGAGCATGTGAATCACTCTCCTCCTTCCTCCCATGTGACAGCCCTGGTGCCTGGCGATTGGTCACCTAGGAACCAGCACTGTCACATGGGGGTGAAAAGAGAGTCCTCAGCACTATGTAATAAAGAAAGGGACAGTTAGTTGGATAGAGAATAGGATGCAGAGAGATTCTCATTTTTTGCAGAAGTTTTGCACTTAGTAGTTTTGCACGTAGTGAACTGACAAATGCTTTTGTAATGTTTTCATTTAGAGTCACTACGTAGTAGTGATGATTACTGCAGAAAACGTTGGTTTATTTCACAATGCATAACTTGTAAAACATCCAAATCACTACCTGAAGTGCTGCTTCCTCGATCTGAGCTGTTGTATGATCCACCAGTATTCTGATCATGAGCCTGGTTGTAGGGAATAGTAGATGGTATAGTGTCCGTGACCCGATAATCTAAAAAAAAAGACAAACACATGATTTGCTGAAAACAACACCAAATACATTAACAAAAAAATGCTGTTTTAGAGAGGAAATCCAGGAATGTAAAAAGTTAACCCTTGTAGTGCAGCTACCCCACACTGCGAGGGTTAACTGTTTGATTTGGCATTTGGTTAGAAATGAAAAAAATATACTCGGCCAATCCCCTTTCCCGCCTGGCTGCTAGTCTGGCCCTGCTGCCTCTTCTCCCCTGGGCTCCCGTAGTCTTAGCCCTGCTGCTACTGCTGCCATCATCATGTCTAATGTAGTCCATTCACCTGCATTAGACGTGAGGACACCAAGGAACATACAACAGCCGGAGCAGATGGATAGAGAGGTGAGCACTCACCGCCGCAGGACCAGGAAAGTGTATCTTTTCTTATTCTGGCCTCTAGGCCAAAATAGCCCCACTGCAAGGGTTAACGTTTCACGTACCTGGAGTTCTTCTTTAACTGAACTTCAACAAAATTTAGCAAACAACTTCATATGGTAATTCTCACACACAGAACAGAGGCTCTCAAGATGTTATAAAGGACTTAGGGATGAAATTGGGGAATGAAAATTGATTTGTTAAAAATGTACTTTCAATATGAACATATATTTACCAGACCAAAGTAGACTAAATAAACTAATTTCATTGTTAGGGTTTACATACACTTTGGGTAAAAAAAGGATAAATACATCTAGCCAGGCAATGGTAAGACTCACTTGTCAAAAACGTGTTTCCTACTTCAGGATATTAGCATACATTATTACTTCCTAGAAAAATGTTGCAGCAATATTTCTTTTTTTAGGTTAAAAATAATGTCTGACAATAATATTTTCATTAAAAAAATAAGAAAATGCGTACATGAGAAAATCTCAATGTGATTTGCTATCGTCTTCAGACTAATCGCCTGAAAGAGCTTTAGGTCTAATCCCAGTCATCAGATAGGTCTGTAACTCAATATTTTCTTTATGACTCATCCGCATTAGTGTATAGCAAGTCCTATCTCCTACTGTGACTGTTGTGATGGATAGAGGAATAAAAATAGCTGTCTCCTGTATTTTTATTAACTAGAAAAGGTAACGATCGAGGTTTCCCTTGTCTAGAATGACTTCCGTAGAGGTGTCACAGGAATAAAACAGGGATTTATTAGTCATTAATTAGAAATTCAAGGAACAAAGGAGCAATAAAAACAACAAAAATGTATCTGACATGGAGTCATAAGTGTATTGTCAACATACTTGTGAAAACTACATCCTACAGTTATTAATGCTAGACTCATGCAGGGTCTGTGTGTTTACATTTGATGATTAAGAAGGAAAGACAAGTTGGGCTGTTTGATTTGAGCAATGATAACCTCACACAGGGAACAGAAGGTATCACTCTACAGAAATGGCACAGTTTCCTGTTCCATTAGTGTCTATTGAAACAAAGAGTACTGACACGTTGCTTCCGTGTTAGAGATAGATATATAAACATTAGCAAAGTAATTCTACTGTTTAGTGGTGATCTAATCACAGAGAAAGGAAGGATGCTGCTATGCTGGAGCTGCCTGCCCAATGCCATGCAGAGAAAACCAAACACCGTGACAGGTTCTTAAATACAGTGAGTGATAACATGAAGTCACAAGTGAAAATCTGACAATTTTTGCTCTGGCCAGAAAGGCTGATGTTCAGAAGATTGTTTGGGAACTGGTGTGAACACATGATGGTTTGGTAACTTCAAAGGAAGCGTGACATGAGGGGAATATGGGGGCTGCCAGAATATGTTTACTGCCTGATGCTGATCCTCTAGTTTCAATGCATTCCAAGTTACTGACCCGTAAGTATGCAGATGGGGTTTTCTGACTTTACTAGCTGTATGCTCATTCTGGGTCGGTGTGTCATATTTAATGAAACCATAAACAGCAGAGCAAGTTGCACTTTCTGCAGAAGGTCAACAAGAGCAGCATCTGTATTTTACTCATGGCAGGTTTCCTTAAGAGTGACTCTGTTGCGTTGTCAAATTAAGGTCAATGTGGCAAAGTATCTTTGAAGCTCATCCCCCGACACATTATATTCCATTAGCCCAACCAATTTGGAAAGCCATTGCAAAATAGGCGGTCCGTCTCGGTATAGAGGAGCATGCTATCTACCCCCATTACGCATTGCTTAGGCCTAGTGGTCAATCACCAGCCATGAAGACTGTCATGTGAAGAAGGGGATGATATCATAAGCTCTTTGTAAGCTCTCACACTATCTGACAAAGAGCTTATACAGGGTTTAGCTACCTAAGAAACAGAGTGGCTGTGAAGCACAAGAAAGGGGAGTAAAAGGGGGTTGGGGGTTTGGAAAATACGTTGCTACTTTGCCATGGAAAGGCAAAGTGACAGAGCCACTAGTGATCGCAATAAGGCTTTTTAAGACCACATAAAAAATGTTTCTTGTAGTGATAATGTTGACTAACCTTACAACAGGGGACCAGGAATGCGCAACTTTGTGTGTTCCTAGTTCTCAGGCCCAATGTCAAACTGAAAACTTAAGCCACAGAATGATAACTGATGCATACTGAATCCGCAAAACTTGGTCTGGGCATCTAAGCTTCAAAAAACTTTGGTCATGAAAAGGTTAAGCAGATTTCTTAATACTATACTATCTGACATTCATCGGCAGCATTTGACAACACAACAACATTTGATCACATCTTTATTTGCAACTTATTGACAACCGTTAGTCCCAGTGCAGCCTTGCACAAGTTCCTCAAACTGACACATTGAAATATCCAAATGACTGACTTCAGCATGTGATGGCCCTTCAAGTGCAATTAAATATAACAAATAAACATTTCATTTGAAGCCTCTACAAGGTAGTGAGCAATCTGTGGCACAGAGAACTGTTCTTGTTTACTTTCTCCTCAGCTATTGGAAAGACAAATCAAACTCCTAACGCGCAGACATCGCAGATAGATTCACTTCATTTATGAGAAAACCAGAACTAAATATTCCAATCAGTCACAGGGCGTCATCCGCTAACACAACGTATGTCATATTATTAGAAACGGGAGACAAATAATGCCAGAGGCTGCTTGCTTTGTATATTTGCTTTCCAGGTCCATGTCCAAAATGTTTATGAGAGGGATAAATAATACAACAGCAGCTGGGTAACAATAAGCGTTCCAGCATGCAAACAATTAAATATAAAATACAAAAAAAACTAATTTGAGGTTGTCCTTTACAGATGTGAAATCCTTTTATTTTGCAATTTGTTGCTAATACAAAGGATGTTGAAAATTTAGCCTGGAAATTATTAAAAAGGGCTTGAAATAATCTTAAAGGGAAACTATTTCATGTTTTCAGTGAATATACATTTTCAGTTATTTTACTAATTTACTTGAAATAATTACTTCTGTTTTTGTATGCTTGTTGTGTCCTATTGTTATGACTGTATTTTATATACAGATGAGAAGGTTCTTCTCTCAGTGGATGACTACATATTAGAGAGTACAAGCAGCATTCTTACTAAATGACTGCTGGAAGAAAACCAGTGACAGGATAATCCCTAGGCAGAGTGGTTTGTTTTTCATTTTTTGCCAGAAAAATAATTACGGCTGGCGTGGGGTAAAGTAAATAAATAGTCATTGAGAATATCACTCTGCAGTGGGTTTAGACAAGTCAATATAGTTTCTAGAGCAGGAAGTGGGACATCAAAATCATTGAGCAAGCTGTCAGGTGAGGGAAGGCCTGCCACAAATATACAAGTATACCAAACTGTGACACTAGCAAACATGGGGCAGTTTAACACTTCCCTCTTCTACACAGAAGAGTTAAGGATTGGGGCTGCTTAAATAAAAATGTTCCATGTTTGTTTAATCATGTGTGCCTCCCTGTATAACCATGTGCGCCTAAGACAACCCAAAACACTCTCCAGTAGACTAGAGAAGGCCCAACTATTGTAAACAAATAATCAAAATTGGGAGTAATGTTTGCTATTATGGGTCATTTATGTTCAGCCTTAGGTATACATTCGCAACTTTACAATCTATGCTTTTACTATTAGCAGACGCACATCTTTAACATGATCAGAGTCCCTTTTAATCTGGTGCAGCCCTACTTCTGTACACTTCTGAAGTTTCAAGTTCAATTGGATTGTATATTGTCTCAATTAACTGTCCAGTCTTCCTGTTCTGTAGTGAAATTCTTGTAAATCTGCCATGAGTAGCCTGAGCTGGAAAAGTGTTGCTCACTATAAAACATTTTCATTGATACTTTATAGACTGGATAGATGTGCATTACATTTACTGACCACACTTGTGCATTAAAATGGGTCAAGTACACGCAGCCACCTAAGTAGGAGTGTCTATTTAAATTTAGAAGTTGTCAGGCTGTAGTCAGCCTGAGTTTGATTGATAATTTCTGAGTCTATTCTAAGTTCTGGTTATGTTTTGCTTTTGCCTGCTGCTGAGGAATGCCCTTGGCAATAGCATGGGAGGCTGTAATAATTAGAGTTATAAATATTTATATCTCCCTGACCAACCACTAGGAGATGTATTGCCAGCGGCACAGGCTTGGAAAAGGTATACTGTACATATTCAGGAGTGACTTTGAAAGTCAGTCTTCCCTCAGGTCTTCTGCCTGGGGGAGGGATGCAGTTGTATATCTGATCCTCCTAGGCCTGCTGCCTTAGGAGGGTGATCATGTGCTTGGACAGAGTGGGAATTGTGATACCATGAAGGAACTTCAGCTTGAATGAGGTACCTGAGAAGCTGGGCATAAACGTGTTGCTTGACTGTGACTCCTAAGGTGATTTCTCCACAATGAGTCAAGTAGCTGGACCATCCAGTATTGTACAGACAGAAGATTATTTAACAGAATGCCAGGTTAGCTTAAAGGTAATCTATCTGTGAGGGCTGTAGAGAGCCATTAAACTCCTTGTTTGCATCTCAAATGCCTAGCACGCATCTATTCATATTTCTGCACTATTGCCAAGGACCAGACCCTGAGGTGAAATACTAACCCAGCCTGCCTATAGGGTCCTTCATATGCACTATGGGGTCAGAGGGGTGCTACACACATCCATTGCACTTTGCTACTAAAGAGGAAGTACAACATGCATATGTAATTAAAAAATATGGATTTACCAACGCTCATATTTGAATAATATTTCTAAACAAATACAGTGTTTTACTTATTTATAATAATTATTTACATTAAATGGTTACATCTACAGATAAAAAGGTAGTAGCACTCCAGTAACCATACTTTCAATGCTGTTCCTTGTTGTTACTGTTCATATATACAGTATTTCATAGCACTGCAATTCTGTAATGAATAGAAATGAAGGTAGCCACACATAGCTTGCGCCTTCCTCACATAAAGGTCACTTGTGTTGAGCAGCAGAGCCGGGTCACATGAAATGATCCGCTGTACAGCTGTGATAGGACACGGCCTTTTACTGGGGCACTTTGCGCTTTATTATGTGGTGACTCGCAGAAATATGTTTAATAGTTCAAAGCTGGCACTGATCTGGATCCTGGGGACACCGCTGCTGCAAATCATGTTATTAAAGTGGATTGCATGCTTCCATAGCCTGAAGCCCTAAAAAAACTGACTGACATACCTTTTTTTTTCCCCTTAAGTTCAACATATTACAGTTAATGAAATACATCCTAAGAAGTGAACTGTTCTGCTGGTGATTGCAGAAGGCTTCTGATGGAACAAAAAGAAAAACATGTAGTACTGCTGGCATGATATACGTACAAATATACTATAATAGCAGTACTTAACTCTGCAGTTATGCAGCTATATGTGTGTGTCACCATTGTGATATTTTAATAGCAGTACTTAGCTCTTTAATTATATAGCTATGCATGTGTGTCAAGATTAAAATATAAGGGTATTACAGTTCAGAGAAGAGTACCAGAATAACCTATTAAAATATGAGATTTCACAGGAGCAACACCATCACTATGAAATTATTATTATGACATTGCTGCAAGTAACATACCAGTTCTCTACATATGGGCTAATAATTGAGAGCAAATTAGTTTTCCATTGATGTCAGTTGGGGCATATGTCCCAGCTAAGAAGCCCTTCCACCATAGGCAGCAGCTTACACTCACCTCTGTGGTAAATTAAAAAGGTATTGCAAGCGCAACAAAAACTTCACACAATATGGTGTGTTACTTCTGTGACCCATTTTATGAATTAATTACAACAGCATTTCTCAACCTTCTTACCCCAGAGGAACCCTTGAAATAATTTTCAGGTTTTAGGGTACCCTTGCTAAAACCAATTCATTGGTGGTCAGTGGGAGTGGCTGGTAGGACACTAGACAACTAAAATATTATTATGTTGATTCAGCTGGCTATGCCAAGTATTTTTGGCCCCTGAACTATGCATGCACCATCAAATTGAAAGTCAAACACTTGCAGCCACTGGAGGAACCCTAGGGTTCAACAGAATCTTGCTTGAGAATTGCTGAATTAGAGCCCGTCTCTACAAAGAGGCAGATGAAGCACTTACCGGATGAAATAAAAAAATATAAATAGCATTGCTGCGGGAAACATACAGGCTAAGAATTAACAGCAATTATGCACACATTACTTTTCCAGTGATGTCAGTGAAGGTAATGAATTAGAGTCTGCAACTACCAAGAAGTGATCATCAACATGGGACTAACAGCACATAACAATGTTAGAAAAAGTGTGTGAAAAAAATTTCAAAACACACATCTATAAATTAGTGGACAATGGCCCTATATTTGTCTGTTGGCTCCTAGATTGAACTGATTAGCGTATGGATACCAGGGATCCATGTCCAGTACTGATAGGGAGATATAGATGCAAGAAAGTGTTCAAAGCATTTCCCACTGTATTCAGCTACTCTATTTTTTGATCCAAACCAGGAGCAATGGACAAAAGTAATATGTATGGAATTGGTATCTATGCTCTGTCAAGTGTTCTACCACATTTTTGGGAAAGTAAAGAGAGAAAATACCAACGATTATAGAATCTATTTGAAATTTGCCATTGATCTACCAAATCTGGACATGTAATATATGATGTAGACTTGATTGTATGTTTTTTAACTGGCAATGGAGTGAATATGCTGGTCTGTGAGTAAATGGACCAACAAGAACCATTTGATCTACAGAGCATTTCACTTGAGTGTGCTACATCTTCACACCTATTTTGCCTATACCAGTTCCACTTATCTGGGCTATACAAAGTACTTATTTGTATGTAATATAGTCCATATACGGGCACTTATTTAATGATGACACAAGACATACATCTCTATATATTAGACAAGCCCCTACCAGCCTATACACTAGTCTAGGGAAGCAAATGTGGATAAGACTTGCACAGATTTGACCAACATATAAATGAATGGTAAGAGGTCCATAGGAACTTGTTTTAATTGACTAGCTTAGACTTGCTCACCCCACAGATCATATATACCTATCAAATATCTGTTTATTAAAATGATCTGAATATGTGTCAAATCCCTGTTCAGTAAATCGTATGCAAAAGTGTTCTGAAGCACATATCGATAATGACGGTGTAAGAGCAGTTTGGTGATAACATCATTCTTCTCTCACAATTTTGTCATCTAATGGCCACACGTCTGAAAACTATGTGCCTCTGTGTACATATCTTCACCCCTGTCAGCTGTGGGGGTGTGTCTGTTTGTACAGTATATATATATATATATACACACACACACACACATAGACACAAATTATATGCTTGATAAAACACGATCCGATTAATTAATTTCAATACCCCAGCAATAAATGGGCTCACAACAGACACAAAGATTCAAATTGCCATCTGTGTTTAATCAGAGGTTCACCGTGCAGCAATTGTACAGTATCCTCCTCATGAATTAAATATCTTATGTTTCATCTCCCAATCCTTCATCCACTATAACACTTAGATGGAATCTCACCATATTAATTTTCTTTTATTTGATTTTATTTCATCTGTGGCTTATTATTTGCAGCGTTAAATTCAGTTGCAAAGGTTAGGAGAGTGCTAATTAACTTTTTGACACTGTTAATCTCGATCTGCTGCATTTACATGTATAGTAGCTCGGCGGTTCGGCGCAGCTAGTAGGAGACTGAAAAAAGCTGCGCCTGGTTATTAAAAAGATCTAAGCCTGAAATCCCAGAAGACTTCAACTTCTAATAAAAGTAATAACAAGAAGTGGCAAGCATGGAGCTCTCTAGCCAAACACTGGGGAATATATAGTTTCACTAATATGAACAAGACTTCCTAACATGCACACACACAAAAAATGTCTGCTGCATATGGCTGATAATACTAACAGAGTCTGGGAATCTGTGAAAGTTAAGAGGAGATGATACATAAAATGTAAAAAAAAATAAAGAAAAATTAAACTTTTTGTTTATACCAATTCTTTTAAACAATCTGCATTGTCCTATAGCTTCTTCTTCTAACACTTGGACTGGAGTTATGATAAAGTCGAAAATAAGCAGTGTGGCTCATTGAATAACATATTTTGTAGCTTTTGCTAGATTGTGGGGTTTTAAAGCTGAACTCCAGGTGCAAAAATATGTATTTAAATCCATTCCCCAATAGCCCTAATGGATATAAATCCAATTTGTTTTCATCAAATTCATTTACAAACCCAGGTAATAACTTTTACAATTAATGATAACATCACTGTGCTGCAAATAAATTGCAGATAGCAGAACTTCAGGCTGCCTGTAGATAACTATAGGAGTGGGGGCAGTCAACCTGCACAAGATGAGAGAGCAGGAGTGACTGGTCTATATTTCAGGAAACTCATGTACAAAAACAAAAGTGTTCGAGTCAGTCCATGCTAGATAACTGTACAGAACTTAAAATATACAGTAAGAACACCAACATTTAGGTAAATACAACAGTCTCTTGTATTTAGACAAATATTTTTTTTAGCCCAGAGTCCAGCTTTAAATCACCTAATGGTTTTCTTCAATCTTGTGTAGACTCCTTCGGTTATGCAGAACATTTCCAGGAATTTACTAGTCACCTCATGCAATATTTCATAGGTAGTATAATTCTCTCTGTTAAATTATTTGTTTATTCTCCATAAGGACAAGAACAGGAAGAGCTGGAACATCCAAAGGGTTATGAATATCCAGAAATGCAAGGGGGTAGAAAGGAAACCAGGTACTATATGTAAACCATCAGGTTACTCACCAGACTCTACCTACAGCTGAAATGTTACTTTTATATGGATTGACCTTTCAAGATGTTTAAAATAACACCTGTACGTATGCCCTATAAAAACAACCAATCAGATTCAGATTGATCATCTAAATGTAGTGATCAAATGTAGGCTTGGCTGTTAACAGGCAACAAAGGTAATGCTTCATTGACATGCTTTCATAAAGCAGAATCCCCTGTCTTGCACCACAGCAACCAATCAGAATGAAGTCAACAATGGAAAATAAGTCAGAAAATGAGTTGGAAGCTGGCTGGTGGTTGTGGGCAGCACGTACAGTCCCTATTGAACCTGTATTTATGAACAAAGTCCTATTTTCACCCGCTTAACAGAAAAGTAAAGCTTTACTCTACCTTTATTGATTTTATTTTGCTCCATGATGTTGTACTGCATCGGGGCAATGTCAGGCTTGTGTTGTGCTGATGGTTTCCAGTGTTTGTCATCCATATCTGCACTTGAAGAGTTTATGTTGTTGCTTATGTTTGACTGAATGAGCTGAGTGGTGGCATAGGGAGTGGGCTGCCCCACTGGAGTGACAAAACGGCCATCCTTCAGATTTGGACTATTGAAGGTTTTCATCTCATTTATTTTGTTGCTTAAGTCCACATCACCATAGACAGCAGAATCGGGCACCATCAGGTTGGTCTGTTTGTTGTCCAGCTGGTTGTTGTAGTTTGCTATGCAATCCGCTGGTCAAAAAACAAAAGAAATAGATGATACATAAGTGTTCAACATTTCCATACAACTGTGAGAGATGTGCTCACCTTTAGTGGTGAGGAAGCAAAACAAGTATAATGCTTTTAACTGGTTGGAATGAATGCAATTGCTGGACCACTCTTTTTACCTGCAGGGGCAAAAATGATAACTCCAGGTAGTCAAACTTGAATGTTACCAGAGAAGTGAAAACAATCAAGAGTAAAGGACCCAGGTACATCGGTCAAGGGTCAGTGGAAGTTCCAGAGCTTATGCACCTTTAAAATGGTTCTAGCTTTATGATGCTTAATGTACAGTATATGTTCACACTGTGAAGTACACACAAGTTTTGGTAGGCAGGAATATTCAGATCTTAAAAAAATATATACAGTACAATATAGATATAGTCTTGGCATATGATATACACGCCAGTAACAGAAAACAAATGTAAAAGCTTCCATGAGACCTATAAGATTTCTTAAAATTATACCAGATATAGAGTGTATATAATATCCAAACGCAACTCATTCACAGCTTTTGGCTTGAAAATGTCTATATGTTTAACATTGAATTTCTGTACCTTCTTGCTGATTAGAGGCAATTAAATCCCCGGCATATCATTTAAAAAGCACTTTAATACGCCTGATTCAGATTAACATTCCTCCATATAATTTTTCTGTGGTGGTATATTTAAAATGTTATGTTATATGTTTCCATAAAACTGGTGCTAGTCATTTACAATATCTGGCAGAGCTGCTTATATAGGGACATTAACTGCAAAAAAAAAAATATGGGACTGGATGTTCTTTTTACAAAGTGACTATACATATTAGATTAAAATAATATTCCAGTTACAATATAGAGATGCACGACTAAAAGGATTAGGATTTTGGAAGGAGCATCACAGTACCATACACATTTCATTAAACCCCATAAACTTACATTGCATGTACGACTTACATGAAGGCTGTATTCAGACCTGTGCACTGCAGTAACATGTGGTAAAATGTGCATTCTAACATGCTTTAACAAAATGCAGGATAACTTACTACTTTCAAACTTCATTTTGAATGACACCACAACATATATGTTTAAATACACCACAGAACATAGATAGAAAACATCTGGGCATTTTAGTGTGCTGCAGTGAAAACAAATGTTGCAAGTGTGTTATAATATGTGCTGTGGTGCGTGGGAGGCCCATATGAAATAATGGGCTGTCTTACTGCAATGTATAGTGATGCACAAATTATCGGAATGGAAAAATGGTAATCTGGCTGTAGAATGTAAAAGTCAAAGCAAATATTGGGGGTGAGCCTGGTGAGCTAAAGACTACTTCTATCTATCTATCTATCTATCTATCTATCTATCTATCTATCTATCTGAACCTGCTGTGGGTAAACCTATCAAAAAAGGTTTGTCTGTCTAAGACATTTGCTACCTCTGTAAAATGCTTACATTCAACAAGCAATAACAAAAGCATTTGTAGGAAAACCATATATGTACACAAATCTTCCAACCTGGATGTTTAAGTGGATATCCCTCAGCCTTAAGAATCAAGAGTGGTCAATACAAGAGCTGATTATCAAAAGAGAAAGTATAAAGCAAGCTTTCTAGGCAGATAACCGGCCCCAGCACAGATACAATAATGACTGGTCTTACCTGGTCGGCTGTAAGTGGCCAGATTGTTATCACTGCTCCCATTTCCAGATGTACAGCAGTTAATGGGACAGTCATTGTGGCTGTTCCCTGTGTTTGGCCAAGTATCAGCTAGCCATGGCTGGGTTGCAGGTTCTGCAATATTTAGGAGCCCTGGTCTGTAAAAAAAAAGTTAATTCAAAGCTATAAGTGAACACAAATTGAAAGCTATGCATGGTTTGTGACACAAATTGAACAAACAAGATCAAAATACTGTGCCCAAGACACCATTTCCCTGTATAAGCCTTGGTGGGCTTGATACATGATCTGTGTTTCAGTGTCTTTCACAAACATAAATAAAGTAAGGAGTAAAAGGCATCTACAGTAAATGCAGTTCATATTGTTGCCTTCCACAAAGCCATAATTTTCTTTTCTTTGGTTGCATAATGATCCAGGTAGAAACAGCTTTTGTGGAATATGTATGATAAAACATCTGTACACACAGTTCAAGGATATGTGTCAGAATGCAGTGAAAGCAATCTGGCATATATTTCTAAACTATAATTGCATTTATAGTTGAAGGCCCATGGTACACTAGTGATTGTGTAATTGGTGGAAACTCGCTAGTGATAGGATCACTAAGAAATAAACTGAGAACATTATTTTGTTCCTGTGGTATTACTACCTCACTAGGTGAACCAGTCAATGAGGGAACAACACTGTAGGAACAGGTAAGTATTGTTGTTACCAAATCTGTTGCTGGTGAATTTCAGACAGTGACGCGATCGCTAATGTGGCATGGCCTCTAGGTATCACACACCCACCTGTAGCAGGAAACTATTTTAAATGGAGTGTAAGCTCTATCTAAGTTCACCTCAAATTGTTACCTCACTCTGACAAATAGCAACTTGAGCCATATCTAGGCTTGTGGGTAAAAATACAATACTTTTTGAGACAACAGTCTGCAAAAAGACTTCATAGGCTAGAAAACAAATGTATTCTTAATTACTTTTAAACTGTGAACAATAACAGGTATCTATGACAAACATCTGAAGCCCTGCATGACCTTCCCAAAAATTACTTGCAAAGCCATTTCTGTGTTTAAGTATTAACTGAAGATTAAACAGACACTAGCTGATTTTATGAACACTTTAACACAGTTCAGAAATTAATTCCCTCTTTACTGGTTGCAGACAAAGCTCACCTGAGACCCAATTACAGGTCACATTTACTGGCAGCAGTAATGTAGGAGCCCTAGAGAGAGAACGAGGGACAGCATTCCTGCCTGTGTTAGACTTTTGCTACTTTGCTTTAACCAAGCTCTATGTTTTATTTGTTTGACTTCCTTCATTGGTGCACTTAGTTTGAGAGAACAAATACTGGTAATCTATCAGCAAATATTACCTACTGTCCCTGAATTTTATAGAGAGGTTGACCGGCCATGTTTGCAACAAGCACACGAACAAGGAGCATAAATAAAAACAGTGTATAGAAAAGCTGTGGGGTAATCCACAGTGACGAATCATGATAGCAGTCATTTTTCAAGCTGAACAAGAAAACTTTTCACCCAGAATACGACTGGATTCTTAGATCATTTTCATATTGTAGTGGAAGTTACAGCCTCCATCCCTTATAAAGAGGCTACTTCTAGGCCAAAACTGATTGATCAGCTCGGTTTATGAGCTGATAAAATTTCTAGGCTGCTGTGAGATCTGCTGAAAACTGCTCTGCATAAATCAACTAGAATATACAATAGATAGCAAATTCTAATATAGCCTATGTGCATTCTGACCAGGGAATTCACACCACACACAAAGTACAGCAAAAAATCGAAAAGCTATTGTTATCTATAGAACTTGTTCCTACTGACCCATATGTTGCACATTACATTGTGAGTAAGCCCTTAGTAGTAAAAAAAAAAAAAAAACCTTTTTGCCTTAATTGTCTTGGCTAAGCTTTGTAACAGGCTGGTGAGGGTTGCTTTGAACTTTTCTAATAAGGTCTTTAGCACTTCTATTGCAACAAAGGTGTTTCTTGTTAACAACATGAACAAGATACAATCCAGGTACATGGCTGGACAGTTTTACTTAAGTACAAATAATTGAACAGGTGTAACAGAGAATTAGAATATGCTAACATGCTTGATAGCACAAGCAAGCTCACTGAGAAAATACTACCATCACAATAACAGTTCACTACACTGACCTCCAACATACCAAGGTTACTACTTGAAGTTTCTGAGAGCATTATCACCAGCTCAACCTGACATTAGATGTCCTACCGTGGCTACCCACTGTACAGATAGATGCAGGCTTCTCAAGCTTCACTTTGAGCACACTGCAGAAGTTCACTAAAAGGATCAAGACTACCCTCTAACGATTTAGCAGTAACAGTTCTTCACCCACCACTCTGATATGCTGCAGCCATGGGTACCACTTGCAGCTGCCAGCATGATGAAAAGAGGAAGCACTGGCCTCCGGTCTACTTAACAGCATTTGGATTCCTGGATTCCTTGGTTTTGTGTAGACAACAGGTTCCCTTTAAGCGAACAGCTTTAGTACTTTTAATCCAGTCATATCCATTCAGAATAAAGAATGTCTGCTTGGTTTACAAAATCAGATTCAGGAAAGCATTTGTCAGCAAATTTAGCTTTATCAAAAGGGCAGAAATCATGTAGTTTAATTCAGTGTGATATATGAACGAAGGCTTGACAGCCTCCAGGTAAGGAGAACACATAAAAAACAGAGAAATGCCCTTTTAATAATCTTGTTTGCGTACTTTTAAGTTTCAGCCTAGGAAGAGATTGTCCTTGGAATACCATGTACATCATCATACTGTTAAAATTTCCATGTACTGCCAAGCGTTTTGTTCAAGAAGACGATTAGAGCATCTGTCATATCCAATAAATGACAGCAAGCAACAAAAACAGCAAAACCTTGCAGCATTAAAATCCTTAGAACAAGCCTGATCATTTGTACTGTTCAACAGTCACATTGTTTAGAGAAAGAGTGTTCAGCTAAGAAAAGAGTATAAAATATAGAGAATGAACTGCGCCAATAAGCAAGCTAACAGCTACAAGGCACTGGAATGTACACCCACTGAGTAAGAAAAGAGTATGATCCTTCACCAGGGCTAGAGTGAGCCAGAAAACGCAATCCATTTGCTGCCGTTTACATAGCTTAACGGATTTGTGTAGGGATGACCCAAATTTAACTCCAAACGTACCTCTCACTCTCTAGTTTATGTTCCATATTTCATGTTTTTTTAATACCGGGTTCTTGTAGCAGGAAATAGCTTTAATTACTTCTTGCTGGGAAAGAAAACAATATATGTACATGGTGTGGGACAGAGAAAGGTGAAGATAGGAGGAGTCCTGTAGTCCTGCAGGTAGGACTGACAGATCAATTTTGGATTTCAGAACAGCAGAGGCACTGTCTTGTCAGTCTGAACGGAAAGTTAGGAGCATGCTGGATTTGTAGCAGATCCATAGATTTTTTTTTGCATTTGCACAACACAAACTGACATGTTAAGGGCAAACCTGATGAACACTCAGTCCACGATTTCACAACCAGTGCAACTGAACTAATCATCATTAGCGATCAGGTTTAACGAATGAGTGACAAGTGAAGAAAATATGCCACGTTATCCAGCAAGCATACAAATCTCTGATTTGCTCTTTTTTTCCCTCTCATAAAAAATGGAACAATCATTTCACCATGCAGCACTTCAATAATTTGCCCATCAGGAGAAAAAGCCATGCTGGGTTCATGAAAAGGACTGCTGGAACTCTCAGGTTTCTCCAATATTCACAAGCAATACTCCTGATTTGAAAATAACCTTCACTAACCAGTCACTATAGGGGCACCCTCGTGGGCATTAATGATCTTTGTGCAAACATTGGAAGTGCTCATTATGTTTTCCAGGATTTTGAAAAATCTCTACAATTATCGTCCACATTTGGACATATAACTCACAGTTGAGAACATGTTAAAGTTATATCTAGTGGGATGTGCTGTTCAGCAGGTTTATCTCAGCTTGTAATACAAAGTATAAGTTGTATAACCAAACACTATTCTCGGAAAAGGTTGGCTCTTACTTTTACCCCTTGTGAATGTGGGGGAAGTGCAATGCTTTGTACCATACATGCCACTGCAGTTAAAATGGTGGGAGGGGACCTTCATGGGACAGGGGGACTTTTAATTAATAATTATTGCCCCATGTAAGCAATGTCTTTTAACACTCCAGATAAACAGAGCAGACTGACCAAGGGCTGGCATTGTCCTGAGTACAACTTGGAAGGCAAACAGTACATTGGGGGCAATCTTGGCTTAACTATACTTCTTTTTTTCATAAAAGGTTAAAAAGTGATGCTGATACAGGATAACTAACACGTATAAACTGCAGAACATCCATGTCTGCCTATCAGATGAGATGCAATGCAGTGAAAGTGTAATACATCTGCCCCTGTATCCCTAGTTAGGAACTGTCGGTGAGCCTGTAATATGATAACTTCCACATTGGAAAAGCTGTTGTGCAGTAAAAAACATAATATGACCCTGGATAACATTACCGAGAATAAAAAGGTGACCCGTCCTGAGCAAAATATGTATGCAGTAACTGTGGACCTCTACCAAAATTGCCAGTTCCTCCTAGGAGGTCTGATTACACTAGTTGCATACTTGTTCTAGGTCAGAAACACCAGAGGATCAGCATGACAGCCAGAGAACTAGCCAATTCTGAAGGATAGTGGCAAAGGCTGTGTGTGTTTATTTCTCATATTTAAAGGAAAACTCCACTAAACAAATATTATAGCATACACATTTGGTACACAAGCCATTTTGTAATTTAATGTTATTAAAAAAAACTACCTTTCCATTTCAATCTAAAGCTGCTGTAATTTTTTACAACTGTTCAAAAAGTTAAATGCAATATGGCAACCTGGAGGCATTCTATGTACTATTAGTGTATGGAATGTCACCCCAGAAAATAGGATTTTTGTACTCACCGTAAAATCCTTTTCTCTACGTTTATTGAAGGACACAGGGAACAGATCTAGGATCATGTACTGTAGGCATGATCCTAGAGCTGTTCCCTGTGTCCTTCAATGAACGGAAGAGAAATATAATCTTCAGCTTGTGTGAATGGCTCACTGCCTTTCTCAAAACTTTGCACAAAGATAGTCAAATGTTAGGTAATCATTACAGCAATAGGAATCTCATTTTAGCTAGATACTTCTTAAGGGTTAACTTCTTCAAAGGGGACACAGGCACTGCAACTTTCATCATTAGAACACTGAAAGTGAACCAGGTAGGCATAATGAGTGCATAACCTTCCATTCAGGAATGCGTTTAGGCAGGACATGATGAGACAAACAAGGTAGGAATCTGCAACACAATTTGGTAAAATCCCTGCAATTGGTCCACCAGAGGGGACTATGTTTTTCTCAACAAAAATGCGAGTTACATTTTAAGGTTCTTTTTTAATATGCAGAATAAATAGGCTGATTTCAACACCTGAAGCCTGGTGATTGTAAATTGGGGTCAGTGAACAAACCAGTTTAGGAACATTGACCTGATCTACTCTTTAAAGAAGCCTTGGTGCTCCTTTGTACCGTGCACCTCACTGCTGTCTTTTGTAACAGAAGAGCTCCCTCTGGTGGCGGCCAGATGCAAACGTCAGAAAACCGGTCTTCACTTAATTATGTGCACATATTTAGTTTGGTAAATAAACACATGTTTGCTGACAGATAAAATCAGCAACATGCTGTTTGCCTCACTTAATTATGCTGAATATATGCCAGAAAAATAATAATAAATAAAATATGAGGTAGACTGGTGCAGGTCGAATCTTCAAAGGACACATAAAAGGAAGATTTAAGCTCCTCAGTAAAACACAGAGCCTGCAGCACGTTGTTCCCTATAAAAACAGAATGACAAAAGATATGTATGTTTTTGTCAGGAAATATATATTTTCTCACCTTCCCGCACTGCTTACAGCTTCCCCGCCTCGCTGATACGCCACTGGAAAAGGAAAAGAAAGAATACGTATGTTTGAAAACAATGAACACACGGGGAAAAAAAGCCAAAAGCGGCAACATTCAGCCATGACTAAATAAAGATACAAGATGGATGACGGTGATCTATATTAGCCGTGCTGTTTGGTCAATCAACATATGCTAATTTACAATTTACCTAACATATTCGGCGTGTTATTTCCTCTCAGAATCTGTTCAGTGACAAGCACCTGATAACAGGAGCGATAAATCTTTAAGATGGAAGAGAAATGCACAGAGTATGACAACCTGTTTTGATGCGAGATTGATCGCCGAGATTCTACTGTGTCATTTCTAGCATAACAGATCGCTTGTTCTGCTCAAGGACAGCTTGGAGAATAAACAAGAATTTATTCTCAGAACAAAAGCTGACTCGTTCAGGCTATTTTGGGTCATGCTGGTTGCTAAGCCTTTGAGGCATTTTGACCACAAGTTAATGTCTCATGGTTAGAAGTGAATATTCCAGATCACTTAGGCCTTTTTTGTAAGCCACAGGGCAGGGAACCTTTGCCCTCCAGCTGTGGTAAAACTACAAATCCCATAGTGCTTTCGCTTTTGGGAGTCATACATGTGCCTGTCAAAGTCTTGCAATGCCTAATGGGACTTGTAGATCCAGAATAGCTGGAGTTCTAAGGTTGCCTATCTTTGATCTAAGACATGACACCTATGCTGTTCCATTATGCTTGTACAGGGTTTGGAAGTTTCCTTTGAGCTTAGGGAATATTCAAATGTTCTTGTTGCCATGTAGGAACTTTAGAAACAATGCAATGCTGTGTCTATGTGAACACTGTATTGTTAAAGCGAACCTGTGTTAAGCATCATAGAATGATACAACATACCTTTATTGTGACCCCTTCTCTCCCAGAGACCCAGTACTATCCCTTCTTGTAGGGTCTTCCAACTACCCAGCAACTGAGCAACAAATCGACAGGCTCAAGCATTGCCACATGGGGGTGTTAATGCATAAAGGTGGCCGTAGATGCCTCAAATTTTGGCAGATTCCTTTCCTGCTTAATCAGCTAAAATTCAAGCCATGAATGGCCCTGTCTGCACCATTGGGCTAATAAGAAATGGATTTACAGGTGGAAAATAATCAGCTGAACGGTGACTGCATTCTATTAGATGCAAACACTATTTGGCAGCACCACTGTATTCAAGTACTTGCCGGTGCTCAATACAATAGGCGGTAATAGGGATTCTTCCATCTACGCTGTTTAGCATGGATGGGGAATCAATTAATTTTATCTCGTTCAACCCAAGTATGGCTAGCTTGGGGCCCATCTACAAAAACTACCTTTGCAGTGGTGCTAAAAGCACCACTGTTTTTGTCTTGGGGCTGGAGTAAAGCAGTTACTTACTCTGATCCCCGTTCCTGCCAGCTCCCTCCAAGCTGCTACACTGGTCCCCGCAGCCTATTCTCCCATTTGCTCTGCAAGTCTAAGGACCGCTGACATCATGACGTCAAACGCAAGTTGCTTAGACCTGCATTAGATGCGAGGACCCCGAGGGGCATTTCACCAGACAAAGCAAGGGGGAGAAAAGGACAGCACTGAACACCAGAGGAGCAGGGATCAGGTAAGTAAATCTGTTTTACTCCACTCCAAAATAACACTTAACCTTTGTAGTACAAGAGTAGCCTCACTGCAAGGGTAGTTTTTTAGTCTGGAGATGGCCACTAAGCAGATGTTTGTACTGACCTTCAGAAAGTTGGCATTTGCAAAGGAATTTGCAAATGTTAAAAGTATTTTGTGAGATCTTACAGTGTCTCTCAATCCTAGCCCAAGGCTGGCCATACACTGCTCTATTTTTCTCATTCAACTCATGGACTAAATGAGAAAAATAGAGCAGATTCCTCCATCAACACTGCAAGTGAGTTGATCAATGAATCCCACTGTTTACATTGTATTCTGACAGCGGATGCAGGCCGCTGTCAGAATGTCCAAACAGAGCTGGCAGCTCATTGGCTGCCGGCTCTGATCGTATGAAGCTTCTCAGGCCAGCTCCATGCCGGCTGACAGGGTGCCGACAGCAGCACACACTGTGCGCATTTCATTCCTCAAAAACCGTCCGAAATTCACAAAGTGTATGGACAGCCTTGGTTTTGATAATGTTCATCCAAAAGAGGTGAACTGTTGACTGTTGTAGACAGAACCTATGGCATCAAGAAAATATTGAACTGGAATGTTTTCGGTATGGTTGGATTTTTCAAAAGCCAATACAGACTAAACTTAACAAAACAAAATAGGTAATGCTATCTACAAAGTTTTTAACAATGCCCTGCATCATTGTGCCAGATAAGGAAAAGGGAAATCATTATGAATTACTATCCATAGTTCTAACTACTCTACACTGATGAAACTGATTGGTGGCCGTAGCTACTGCATTTAATTACTCTTTCAACATTTTAAGGCGTTTTACAAAAGACAATGAGACACAGGAACCTATAGCAATCAGTATATACAGTATGCAAATGTACCCCCCAAAAATCAAATTATTATTGAATTAAATAAAGTCTTTTAAAGTTGTTAAAAAACAGTCCAGTCTTGCTAAGGATTATTCTGAAGGAACCGGAGCACATTCAACATAAAATGTGTCTAATGTGTTTGACTTAGGCATCCCCCATTAGAAAACTGCAACTCATATGACTAGTGTTTTGTACTATAAGAAGGCAATCAACAGGCTGGTTTTCAGGATTTTGTTGGAAGACTTCTTACAGTAATGAAAGCTTGAAAATAAAAAGCACCCATGGCATATGCATGAATAGACACATAAATGTATTATTAGTTGTTTTTGACTCAGTGAGGGGAATTTATCAAAACTGGAGCAAACAGAATCTGCCCATGGCAGCCAATCAGCATCTTTCTTTAGTTTGCTCAGGTAAGAGTTGAAAATGAAAGAGAGAAGCTGATTGGTTGCAGTGCAAATCTGCTCCTGCTCCAGTTTTGATAAATTCCCCCCAATGTGTTTGATTTATTAAGTATGTTCAAGCTAAGTTTGTTTATTTGTGCATGGTAAAGAACCAGAGGCTCGAATGTCTGAGGCCTACAGCCAACCTGAATAAAAGTTCCATAGATATAGGTGGGCATTATTCTTTTATACATTTGAAGCCTCTAGCCTATTTAACTTCTTTCATCTTTTTTTTTTCTATTGCTGTCCCCATTTAGATTTCTCACTTCCTTTCTATTTGAAATGAAAAAAATTCCTGTATGACAGGTTTCATATAAAATAGGATGTAAGGTGACATCTCTCCAATGGTGGCACAGACAACTACTTCTAGTAAAGTGTGAAAAAAAATTAGAACCTCTGTTTGGATTAATTGCTGTCAGTGTCCCTTTTATTTCCAGAGGGCAGGGGGAACAGGTAGACAAGAAAAGCTCCTCTGTGAGAGCACAGACCATGTAAATCAATTAAAAAAATATAGAAATTAAGAATGTTATAATGGGGACACCATTTTGAAATATAGCCTCCTGTTACCTAGGTAGGCCTGGTAGGTATTTTAAAGCATTTCTTTAAATGCACCCCATTTTAAAGGCTATGTTTGAGCATTGTATAACTAAAATTTTAATTTACATTTTTGTATTTATAGATTACCCAGTCTTAGTCAATAGACGGATTGCAGGTAATCCATAAAAAGTGTCTCTTTCTTGGTGCACTTTAAATCTGCCAGATGTTTATAAAACAAGTGTTTGCTTGGGTTGGTTTTAAACATGAATTAAAGCACTTTTCTGCAAACAATGTACTCTATTTTATATAACTTAGAGGCCTAGGAGTCATAGTATCAAGAAACAAGTTTAATAGGGGTTTTAATACAATTGTACAAATGTACAATTCCAAGTCTGAGTAATGGACATTGCAAAGGGCACAATTCCTTTAATGTGAACATAGAGCATAGTGAAGTGTTCAAAGTTAAATTGCTTTCCAATGTTTGGCCTAAACATTAACAGCTAAACCAGGTGTTAGCTTGATTATCCAATAGTCACTTAAGGTGCCCATACACTGCACGATTCTCGTACGAGAATCGCGGGAAATCCCACGATCTTACGAGAATCGTGCATTGTGATTGAAGGCGTGTGACCGTTTCTACTGTACAGTCTTTTGTCTAAGGAGCATGCTAGAAAACCAGCCGAAAATCTTACGATTTTCGGCTGGCCTGAATGATGCTCAGGAGACAAATGCCGAACAGGCTGGTGTGCGCACGCGTACACTGCCCGTTCAGCATTACGGTCAATTGCAGGTCCAAGATGGGGAGATCGTCCGTTTTTTTTAATTACTTTACAACCATCGCAAGACTAAGGTCTTGCGATGGTTGTAAAGTGTATGGCCACCTTAACACAGCCACAGCTTGTAAAAGTAAGACTTTTGTTAATTAACAATGAGGTTGATTTATTAAAGGCAAATAGGCTGTTTACCTCGCAAGGGAATTTGTACTTTGAAAATAATTTTTTTCCTAAGTGTATGTGGGGAAAATTCATGTTGCAAAGTATACCCAATCATGTGCAAGGAAAATAATAATAAAAAAAACAATCATTTTTGGCATATAAGTTGTTAATGGTCCGGATCACTAGGGGTGTGTCTATTACCTAAATACATTGAGGGGAATGTATTAAAACTGTGGCAGACACAATCTGGAGCAGCTGTGCATGGCAAACAATCAGCTTTTCATTTTCAAAGCTTAACTAAACAAACCAAAAAAATAAGCTGAATGGTTACCATGGGCATCATCTCCAGATTATGTGTTCTCTAGTTTTAATAAATTCCCCCCATTGCACTGAAGGGTGTCCCTCTTTCCCATCTAAGAAAGTTGGGAGTTATGCATTATAGCAACACACTACGTATGTGTATTGTGGTTCATTGCCATTCACTCTTCATGGCACCAAAAAAAACCTATACTTTAAAAGAAAAATAATGCACACCATGCTTCTTTAGAGCACCACAAAGCGCATACATGAATGTTCTGTGCATGGTGGACTGAGTTGCCAAAAATAGTGAAGGTTCATTATTTTGCGTGTTGAGGAAACATTTAAAGTGAATGGGCTACCTCAATGCAATGCAAGAAAATGTGAGCATTACCATTAGTCGCCGGTCACACCTGAACTATGCATTCATGGTACCTCGGTGTGACCGGGGTCCAATGTTCAGAAACATTCACAAGCGTTTTTAGCCGTGTTTGCACGTGCATTGTGATTGAAGGCGTGTGACCGTTTCTACTGTACAGTCTTTTGTCTAAGGAGCATGCTAGAAAACCAGCCGAAAATCTTACGATTTTCGGCTGGCCTGAATGATGCTCAGGAGACAAATGCCGAACAGGCTGGGGTGCGCACGCGTACACTGCCCGTTCAGCATTACGGTCAATTGCAGGTCCAAGATGGGGAGATCGTCCGTTTTTTTTAATTACTTTACAACCATCGCAAGACTAAGGTCTTGCGATGGTTGTAAAGTGTATGGCCACCTTAACACAGCCACAGCTTGTAAAAGTAAGACTTTTGTTAATTAACAATGAGGTTGATTTATTAAAGGCAAATAGGCTGTTTACCTCGCAAGGGAATTTGTACTTTGAAAATAATTTTTTTCCTAAGTGTATGTGGGGAAAATTCATGTTGCAAAGTATACCCAATCATGTGCAAGGAAAATAATAATAAAAAAAACAATCATTTTTGGCATATAAGTTGTTAATGGTCCGGATCACTAGGGGTGTGTCTATTACCTAAATACATTGAGGGGAATGTATTAAAACTGTGGCAGACACAATCTGGAGCAGCTGTGCATGGCAAACAATCAGCTTTTCATTTTCAAAGCTTAACTAAACAAACCAAAAAAATAAGCTGAATGGTTACCATGGGCATCATCTCCAGATTATGTGTTCTCTAGTTTTAATAAATTCCCCCCATTGCACTGAAGGGTGTCCCTCTTTCCCATCTAAGAAAGTTGGGAGTTATGCATTATAGCAACACACTACGTATGTGTATTGTGGTTCATTGCCATTCACTCTTCATGGCACCAAAAAAAACCTATACTTTAAAAGAAAAATAATGCACACCATGCTTCTTTAGAGCACCACAAAGCGCATACATGAATGTTCTGTGCATGGTGGACTGAGTTGCCAAAAATAGTGAAGGTTCATTATTTTGCGTGTTGAGGAAACATTTAAAGTGAATGGGCTACCTCAATGCAATGCAAGAAAATGTGAGCATTACCATTAGTCGCCGGTCACACCTGAACTATGCATTCATGGTACCTCGGTGTGACCGGGGTCCAATGTTCAGAAACATTCACAAGCGTTTTTAGCCGTGTTTGCAGAGCGAACCCCATTGATTTCAATGGGTGCCACATGCGCAACAAACGCTAGAAAGTAGCTCATGTAGCATATTCAGTTGCAAGTATCCTGTGTTTTTTTCCTGCGCGTTTAACATGTGTCAACACATGGGAAAAATGCATTTTACTGGCCGTGTTTGAGGTACCATGAACAAGTAATGGTACCACAAGCATGTTGTGTCATGTTCACTGAATGTGAAGGTGTGAATGGGGACTTAAGGTGCCTGTGAATTCAAAGGTGTGACTGGGCCAAACTACATTTATATTTTCATATATTCAGTGGACATAGTGACATTATACAGGTAAATCTAAACCAATGTTACAGTAAACATTGTACAGTAAAAAGATAGACCTAGTTATTTATTTCTGCTAGTATTGTCTCCTGAGATTCCAAGTGCCAGCTGTTCACTTTAGAATCAGGTAACATTATTTCCTTTCAGTATTAAGTGATCAAGCTTGTGCCTATACCTTACAAATATCCCTGTGCTGGGATTGCAGATTGTAGTATATTCTGTTGTTTCCAACACCTGCAGAGCCCCCCTAATGGGAAAAATCTACAAGAAAACGTATAATTGCAACCTCATGAGATTTCTGGATATACAATGCAGCGTGTTTCCACTGCCTTAAAACACGACACCCGTCACCTTTCCTGGCTCGCCACATCAAGAGGAAATGGCAAAAGCGAAACTGTAATTACGGCTAAATAACTGAAGGCATTTTGCTATGGAGATTATTCTTCGAATGTCTCCGTCAAACCATTAACCACTGCTGAACCAGCTGCATCTCGCAATAAATGTGTGAGGTGGTTACATAAACATATACACAGGATGGAGTTTGTTAAGCAAAGAGACTATAGCATGGTTATTTTGTTAGCTTTTCAGCCCCCCGCCCCCACATAACATTCAGCATTAAAAGCCTCATTTATTAAAACGTCTGACAAACCTTCCCAGCCTCAACCAAGGAAAATTCTCAAAGCATCCAAATAGCTTATTACAGTGTAAAGCTAAAACCCTACAGGCCAAAAAAGGTGCCATCTTGGCCTCTATTTGGATTACAGTTGCCATGGTGCTACACCTGTGATCAGCTATGACACCAGCCGTTTGAGAGCTTGAAAGTTCGGTTTGAGAGCTGAGAAAAGCACACTGGCAACCTTGACAGTCGACAAGCCTTAAAAGTTTTAGGAGACATTTTCTCTTTAAAAGTTCCTCTTTACCCATCAATTTAATTTCTGCCAAAACAGTTACTTATAGACCCCATTCCCACCTAGGTATGTTGTGAAGGCTTGTCAAATGCGCACAAAAGAGCACTAGCTAATTGCAACCCAAACGTGGCCGAGAGAATATGCGCAAAAGCACAGGGGAAAAAATGGACTACACGTCCCAGAATAAGCTACATGCTATAATTTCCTGCATTTTGGTGCGCATCCAAGAACCCATTGAAATTAATGGGGACGCACACCAAATGTTAAAAACAAATGCGTGTTCCTGCTATGCTCAGGTGTGAATGGGTTCTCAAGGTATATCAACTGTCAAGGTTGACGTTGTGTTTATTTCAGCTCTTAATCGAACTTTCAAGCCCTCAAATGGCTGGTCACATGTGCAGCACCATGGGAACTGCAATCCAAATAAATGCCAAGATGGCACCTTCCTTGGCTGTAAGGTATGGGAGGACACAGATGCAGGCTTCATGTGTTACCCCAAGCAGCCAACCACATTCTTCCTATTATTTTAAAGCCTGCATGGAAAAAATAGCAGCTATTCAAATATTTGTTTGCTAACAGCAATGTACGTTCCCTTTCAGACACTTTGATAAATGAGGCCCTCAAATGCACAGATTAGCTTTGCCGAGGAAAAAGAAAATCATTATTTTTAGGCATTCCGTAATATGCAAGAGTTAAAAAGGGATTAGCTGCACAGAAAATGCTGATGGATTCTATAGCTATGCCTTCCCCATCTAGGCAGGACCGTGTTTGAAAGACATCAAATTGGGCCCTTTAGAAGAATTCCAAGCTGGCAGCCTGCAAAGCAGAGATAACTGCTCGCAGTGATTACAATAACAGGATTAAAACTTAAGAGGCAGTGTTAAATCTGTCACTGAGGTATTGCTAGCGATGTGAGGGCCTGCCACCAGTGAAGCTAGGCCGCCACTAACAAAATGCAGGCTTTGCAGAAAAATTTCATATTTCCTCCTAAATACTTGACTGAAATTGCATTTTTTCTCCCATTTTCAATAAAAAATAAAACATGTTTACAGGAACGAACATTTGCAAGCTGCAACGTAATCATTTTTTTCCCTCAGCGGAATAGGAACCTGATGGTAATATTTGAAATGGGATTGTTAGTTGTGGTTACATTTCTTTTTTTTAAATTACATACTCTTGTGGTAGACTTGTAGTAAATAAAAGCAACTATGTATAGAGGTAAAATTAAATTGATTACTATTATTATTGGTAATAACAATATTAACTTGTATGCTGTTCGGTGCTCACCTTGCATGGTATTCCCTACATTACATAGGTCATAGGGCTATGTGATAGTTTGAAAAATGATCACCCCCTGCAGAAAGGGGGGACACATGGAAATCATGTAATAATATTAAAAACTATTAATGCTACATTTGTAAGTAAGGGCTCCTCCACATTCACTGGAAATAATAACTGTCAACAATTTACGTAAAGGAGGATGGAAAGTGTAAAATTAAAATGATTTAATGAATAAAATTGTTTTAAAAAAAAAAATCATTTTAGCCCTTATTAGAATTAGTTGTGAATTCCTAGGATTTACTCAGGCAGTTGTTTCTAGCTGATGCTGTCTTTGTTTCAAGCATCCAACCAGTTCAGAAACATTAACAATCAAACATTTTCCTTCCACCTGTTGTGATGCCTGAAGTATGCACAGGATAGCCATGTCACTTTTAAAAGCTTGTCATACTTCAATTAACTTTTACCAAACTGAGGTTCATTATACACCTCAATGTCTGACCTATGGGGAGCGCACGTTTGTATAGCAGTTATATGGAATTAAAGAACATTGATTTCATGGACACATCTGTGCCACTACATAGTCATTGTGCAACCGTTTTCATAATTTTCATGATGTTACTTTGGTATGGGTGTCTAATATCCACACCTGGTTGTGGAAGGCTGATCACCAAGTATACGTATAACTTTGTACAGGACATTGCACTTAGATTCTAATTTATTCCACTTTTACTTAATCTGCCTCTCAAAAGAAATTGTGACATGACAATTGTTGCTGCTGGGCAATGAACAGATTTACATTGGCAGCATTTCAGACAAAAGTTAGAAATGGAAGAGTCCCTGTGACTTCATTTTAAAATTCTTTAAGCTGTTTCATGAGAAAACATACATACAGTGCAATCATGTATGTGTGTTAACATTTCTAGTGGAGCAAGTCCCAAAAGATTTCCAGTGATAGACACGAAGCAAGAATATCACTATGAAGCACATGCAATGCAACAGACAAGAAAGAGGTGCAAATACTGTATATACCTGTCGGTGTGAAGGTAAAAGACGGGACTGGAAAATCAAAATAAAAAAATGAAATAAAAATCTGGTTATTAAGCTGAAAGAAGAATGTGCACATGTCAAATTAGTAAATATCAAGCAACATACAGTTAATCAGGCAGCAGTAGGCAGCCTTGTGAACAAAACACGATACACAGTGATTATAGTCCGAGTGTTTTTACAGTACGTTGGCATCATTGGCAATTAATTGTACGTGCAGTCTTTTTTTCTAAGCTGAATAATGAAGCCTGGTTTGCAGAGATTATAAATATTTCCCTAATCAGTAATGACTGCAACAGCCACTGGGTGAGCCTATTGCATGCTCTGGATTCTTATGTTGCTGTCTAGACAAAATTCACTAAGACCAGGAATGGTCCACATTGACTTGTTTATATCTCCTGGAGAATTTAATGACATGGTCGGGTTTTGGGGTGGGCTAAGCCAAGTCTGAGCAGGCCTGGATTGGCCTATCTAAAAACCAAAGGTTTTTCCATCAGGCTACTTCACTGTTAGCCTGAGCTAGCTATCTTTTCCATCAGGCTACTTCACTGTTAGCCTGAGCTAGCTGCATTGTGCTAGCCACAGCTAGCACAATGCAGTACAAGAGGCCAAGGGTATATGTTCCACAGACACTAATGGCTGTCTCCAGGACAAGCACACACAGCAATAAACACCTCCACACTAAAAAAACAACAATTTTGCAGTCTCTATCCTCACTGGGAAGGTTTGCAAACACGTCCTGTCCCTGTGAAACACCAGCCTCATGAGAAAATCTCCTCAATGAGAATCACAATATAAATTCAAATGGAGCATCTATCATTTCTTCTCTTTCATTCTCTTTTTGGGTTAAAAAAAAAGACTAAAAAGATGGGCTTAAAGGCGATCTCCACCAAAACATTTCAGCCTTGGGTGTGTGCTGGTGGGATGAATCACCCAATGGCTTCGTGTATCTTTTGAAGACCCCACTGGTGAGGTTTCCACAGCAGTTTTTCCTCAGTCTCCTGCCACAGTGCTTTAACAAAGGTGTTCTTTCACAGCCATATTGGAGGGGTGCACCATTACCTAGCCTGTTGATGACAAGGTAAAGACTGCCGCTCCTTTATCAACAATTAAATACTGCAGCTCTTCTTTTGACAAGGTGAACGTTGCAGCTCCTCCACTGATAAAGTGTGGCTTCAGTGCATAATAATAGGGGTGAATGTTGTTTGCCCAATTTTTTTCCTTCAATGCAAACTGAAATGTGTATGGAAGCTGAGATAATTTGCTGGTTACTATTTCCAGTACTGCAAAATACTGCAGCCCCCAAATGGAAGCACTTGTGAAGAAAATTGACTACTTACAGGCTTCAGATTTGATCAGTCATATCGGGAAAATATATCATTTTGTGTTAAATGAGGGTCTGCCAGAGTGAATATACTTTTAATAGACTTTTTAAGTATGCATGCTGTGTGTTAGTGGGCTTTCTTGATTTGACAACATTCAAATTGAAACAAAATCTGTGTGTGGTCAGTTTTTGGGCAAAAAACTATGTATTCTCTATTTTAAAATAAAATGTTCCATCTGTGTTACCCTTGAGTGTATTGACAAGGGTACATGGCTACCTTTGTACCAATGATAATTACAGCACAATATCTGTATTATTCCCTTTTATTAAAGCTGTTTCTCTTCACTCCATTTATCCCTATTTTCTGACTCATCTCCCAGAGCCAAAAACAAAACCCTGCTTGTTTTAAGCGGATTCACACAGTGGCTTCCATTTGAAGCACAAGAGACCCTATCGAAGGAATTCCATTTGGTCTCATCCCAGCCAGCTCTTTTCACACTGTCAATACAATTTAGCAACATCAAAAAAAAAGAGAAAAACTACAATGCCATAGTAACAAGCAGTCATCAAATAGATGCATTTAAGAGCAGAGCTATCCAAACAACAGTGAAAAGATGTGAACATTAATTAGAAGTCACAGGGACACAGTATTGGGGGGGCAGGACGATGGCCATGAAAAGGTTCAATCAATGCTTTTCTTTTGACCTATTCATGTAAACATTGTTAGATTCTTAAGGAAAAAAATAGATTAAAAGGGGTCAGAGAGGAAGGTGTGACAGAACAGCCCCAGCACATTGTAACTTAATTTCTGCAGCTTTCATTCGAAACCCAACAAGCACCTGCATCTGCATTTCATATAGCATGGTTTGCATAGCATAGAAATGCAAGAATGGAGCTAAACACAACAGCTGAATATGTTTACCTGTGTATGTATTTATATATAAGTACTGCACATTACTCAGTTTAATTAAAGGGCATCTTTGCTTTAAAGTGACTCTGTGGCAAAACAACACATAAACAAACACTTGGATGGAATAGTAGGACCATAGATTGCCAGAATATACTTCTCCTCTTACATAGCAGCATTTAAGAGCTTTTGAAAAGTTCTTATGTCCCTCCCCCCACCTGAGCATGCAATAACAAGGCTTCATGAGATGCAAAAGGTGTGCCCTTGTACTGACTTTCAGAAACTCTGTATTTGAAAAGGCAACCGCTCTAGGGGGCTTGGTGAGGCACTGAAGCAAGTAAAAATGAAGTTACATGAAGGCATAGGATCGTGTCTACTTTTCTTTGCTAGTGTTAGTTTGTACAATACTCTTTTTCTTGCCATTACAGATTTCTAGACTCCTGCCCTGCCCGCTTAGGGCCACATTTGCACGTGTTTTACAGTAACGCAACACATTACCAAGTGTTGAGGTAGCACCTAGATTTTAAATAGCCTGGCAGCAAACCTTAATGCATTAAAAAAAGGTAATGTACTATTTTTTTTAATGCAGTGCACCAGAACACACAGATGGTTCATTTCAGCCAAACTAAATGGCAACAGAGCAAAAGAAAGGCAAGAAAGTGCAGCTGGTGAGGCTGGCATTAAAGTACAACTGCTCTTTGCACTGCATTAGAAGTTGGTCATTTACTGCTGGTAAAGAAACAAACACATTTGGTTAGCTGTGATGGGCTGGTTTATAAGTCCAAAAGCATATAATATACATTTCTTCGGTCCTGCAACTGGTTAATGTAAAAGTTTGTAAAATCCATACTTATATAATATAACAATAATAATAATAATAACAACAACAACAACGGCAAACCATTCAAAATAAAAGGGTGCGCTAAATGTAGAAAAACATGAGTTGGGTTTTAATTATGAAGTATGGTTGTGTATACCTTTTCTGATTCCAGCATAGGTGCTGTTTAGTCCACTGCGTTTCTTGCGATGTCGGTACAGCCAGATGCTGAACACCATTAAAATAATCCAACAGGCAGCGCCTATTCCTGCAATAAATGCCGGCTGCTTCACCACATCTGATATCTGCTGGGCAAGGCTCACTTGGTCTGGAGACACCGGATTACCAAAGGAATCTATAAAAATAACCAAAGCTCCATTCACATATGATCTACACTGAAAGTGAAAGACATGGCTTAAAAATGGAAAAAAAAAAAAAAAAAGAACAAAAAACTCATCTAAATATTTTTTTTTTATAAGGCAGTGATTAAAATGTTTCAGTCACATAGGTAAAACAGGCCAGCACCTTTTTTTTAGTTATAAAGGTGTTAATGCAGTAAGGTAGGGGTGTCAAACTCAATTTAATTGTGGGCCGCATCAACATTATGGTTGCCCTCAAAGGTATCTGTAAGACTATATAAATGTATCTAATCTTTATCATAATTGCCTCTGCATTCGATTATCACTGGTTTTAGTAATAACTTAATACCTAGATCTAAAAGTAGAAGTCTAGGAAATGGCCTGGTGGGCTGGATTCGGCCCCTGGGCCTTGAGTTTGACACATGTGCAATAAGGGTAATAAGGGCAATGTTAAAGCCCATTTCCTCTAATGATTATTTCTTGCTCTGTCCACCTTTGGTAAGGTCTACCAATTCAGCATGTAGCTGCAGTTGAGAGGTTACGCTCCAGGAAGCCTGACACACCCCAGTCTTCCACAAACTATCCTTACTACATAACCTTGATACTAGTATGGAAGCACACAGGGCTTGAGTACAGCTTAAAGAAGCTCAGCCATTTCCTTTTTTTTTTGGAGTGTTAAAACTCTGTCAAGTTGTTTCAGCTATTTGAACATTTGTTTATATATAGAGTTTTAGCATTATTGTATATAGCACTACCCCTGATAACCACTCCAGATGCCTCAATTTATAACTACAAAGCTATATTATCTTCCATGTTATGACTGCACAAGGTGCAAAACAGAATATATAGATGTAACATAGGCACTTGAAAATAGAAGTAGTTTTATTCAGTGTGTGTAATGAGTGATGTGCACCCAAGGCAAGAAATGTTTCCAAGGTGGGGCTCGTAAGGAAGGCCACAGGGAGGATTGGGTAGCCCCTAGTAGGTATGCATCTTTAATATTGCAGAGGTGTCACTGGATGTCACTACTTTCCCAATAAACCATTTTGTCTAATTGTTAGAGAGCTATAATCCAAGCTTGTCCATGTTCCACAGTGAATTCAACAGCCGCACTCTCACCCACTCCAAGTGTGATCAGCTAACACTTCTGTAAATTCCTAGCTTGCTAAACTCTTTTAGTCAAATCAAGACGATCATGAGCTTCAAATATGCAGACAACATCCATGACATACAGAGAACATGTCAGTGTATTGCAACATCCAGTACAACCCAATGCAGCAGCCTTTGTTCTGAGTTCAATCATTTTCTTGGCTTAGGACTAGACATATGTTAAGGCATGAAAGAAAATTAAGTGTTGAAAAGTGTAATAAAACATAAATGACAACTGATGTTGAAACATCCAAGGCCTTTGAAAATGCTTTTTTCTTGTCAATAGCCATCCAAAAAGCCTTTGAACCAACGCCATGTTGCATTACCCCTTGTAAGTAAATCTGACTTACGGTGTTTGCAAAGAGCATTTTATGTCTGTTTACTGGCTGATAGAACATGTATTCTTTCACAGCTTTACAAAATGCATTTAAAGACAAATGAATCAACCGTCCACCCTTTTTAAACAGATTGTGATTGACTGACCAGGCACAATTACCCGAGTTCTCTGTATCTTGCACAATAAAACTAAGTGCTTGTAAATCTAAAACAGTTTATTGCAGCTGCCCACAGCCACTTAACACTTGGCAAGAGTGGACAAACTTTGCATTAAACGTAAGCAGCAATGGCAAATGTATTTGGGAACAAACAAGATGTCAGGTAAATAGATTTTAGTTTTATGAGAGCTAGCAGAGACAAAAAGCTGACACTGAACTGAAATCTGAATACATGGTGCTTATTGCTGTAATAAAATGTTTTAAAAGACTAAAATTTCAGCATGGATATTGATCTGACAATTTTCACCAGTAAAACTGAACTTCAGCAACAGCGATGTCTCCAAATGTGAGCAGTCAGGCTGAATCTGTGGCTTTAATATCTATGCTTTAGTTGGTGTCCTGGTCAGTAGATCTGGTCTCAGCTCAGGTATAATGTCCTAATCTACTTTGCAAGCTTCTCCTGTAGACAAGCCATCTTCCTGGAATGTTTCACTGCTACTTGGGTGCCCCCAAGATTTCTGTGTTAAAGACATACCTGGGTTAGTACAGACCAGAGGGGTCAGCCAGGGCAACAAAGGCAAGTCAGAGTCACAGACAAATCAGAAAACAGAGTTTCAGTTGATGGTACATGGTAAACACAAGGCTCAGACAAGAATCAGTCAAGTAACAGGCAGAAGGATGGTCCAGATGGCAAAGGTTCAATAGTAAAAGCAAGGTAACCTGGCACCAGAAATATTAATAAGTAACAGGCAGCACACCCACAAGTCAGGAAGAGAACTCTACATAAGGCAACTAATGCGGTAGGTTCCCTTTAAAACAGTGGCTATCAATGAGGAGTAAGCTGGGGAAGCAGGAACCATAGCTCTGGGATTTTCTTGAAGAGGTACATGTGATTGTGCACATACCAAGTGGTGGGCAAGGACAGTTCTCCAAGAGCATAAAAAGCCAAGATTGGGCAGGTGCTCTTACATAGAAGTGATATATCTGCTGGGAAGGAGGTAAGTAGGGCACAGGCCTAACACTGGAGGTTTCCACATCTTGAGGCATAGCTGTATGAAATCTGTCTTACTGTACAGAGTGATATCCTGTAAGGAGCACCCACAGCTGAATATTTACCTATTTTGAAGTGGCGAGACAACAAAATCTGTATTAAGAAAAGTTCCCTCTTGCAGTGTATGTACAGAATTTACCAAATGCTATGCGTCCTGCATACAGGCAACTTCTAGAAAACAGCCAGCAAAGGCCAATCCCTTATTTCATAACCAAGTGCTCTGCAAAAAATTATGATCATTGGACAGTGCTGTTTATTATGTTGCAAAAACCTGAGAAGTTAGAAAAGATTTTAATGCACAAGTTTACTTGTTGTAACTTCGGTGGGAGAAATTACAAGGTGAATGAGCAAAAAACCTCTTTTGTACTACGTGCAAAGGCACCATAATAAAACTTTGAGTGCCATATAACCTGTGGGCCATGACCACAACTTTGTACATTCGTTTTTAATGAAAGCCAGAAGCCTCCTAATCTACAGAAATGGGTGGAGCTTCTCAGTATGTGGAACTCAAATCAGGATTCAGTCCGCTGAAATAATACTGAAGGTGGTGGAACTATGAACGTTACAAAGGAAGCAGTCATCTCCAGGCCTTCAAGGCACTATGGGGATCTAATGTAAAACAGCCATTTGGATAACACTAAGCAACACCAAGTGCATGTCTATACAACTTGTTTATCAAATGTGGCTTTAGCTCTAACATTCTCTTGCAGACCCCAAACCAAGGTCACATGCAATATGCAAATGCTAATTTTCCTTTGTGTCAGAGCTCAGTTACACCTCCACCACGTCTAACAATTCAACAAAAAAGCCTTAGCAACCTATTGGGAAGGACAGTGTTGTAACACACAGGAAACAATTTGGTAACACACAGGAACATTCCTTTCCAAGCCTTCCATTTTTTTCTGGGAGTGGGAGCTGTTATTTTAGATTGTATCTGCATTGCCACCTGCTGGTGAAATAAGGTATTCTGCACAATCTAAAATAGCAGTGTTGTCACGCTTTAATCTGCTGAGCAACGACAACAAAACTCAGGTCCTGTTAATACTTACAAGAAGAGTGTAGGAGGTGTTATTGAAAGGAAAGGTCAGAACTAGCTAGTGGGATCTTTTCTTTTCAACTACTAATTCTATTTAAAACCATATAAAATTAGCTGTTCTCAGCAATATAGACAGGTTCCTATGATTTAGTGACTTTCCACACTGAAACATAAGCTAATATTTCTCCAAGTAAACAGTTACTATACTGTTTTTCCTACACCCCTAAATTAAACTGTTTTGAACCATAAAATGTGTCATCTGTTTAGCTCCACTTACAAAATAATCACCTGCTTCAGTCATTTATTGAAGGAAAGCTTTCCGTCTGTGATCCTTAGATCACTTTGGAGATTTAAAGTTCATTAAACAGGCCTGTGCTTTGCTGTCTAATACTCTCTTTGTATCCTCTGGGTTTACCGATTTCACAGATATTTGTGCAGGGCTAAGTTATCTTGGGTCAGGTTTTACGAGGGCGGCCAAATCAGGCCTCGGTGATGGGCCAGCTGGGCTTGAACGTATAAAACATACCGTGACTAATGAATTTAACCTGCCACTCTATATCTCTATCCTTCTCCATGCACAGATGAAACTGCTGTAGGATATTAAAAACTGGAACACATTTCTAATTTTAACACAACAGAATTTGTGCCTTAATTCCAGTGGTTAAGTCAGTGAAATGTAAGCAAAGACAATGCATGTGTTTAGACTGTCCCTATTGGATGTCTGTGAAACAACAGTGGCACCTAGGACAAAATTAGGTTTTTACAAGGCTCAGTCAGGTTCCAACAAATATGATTTATTTATTTGTTTATTACAGGTACTTACGCAGTGCTGTCAATTTCTGCAGCACTTTACATAGTATTAATTCAGTCCCTACTCCTAAGGAGCATACCATCTAAGGTCTCTCTATCTATGGTCAACAATACTAGGACCTTTCAATCTAAGGTCTCTATCTCATGGTCACACATACTAACACCTTACAAAATGTTGTCCCTATCTCATGGTCACACATACTAACACCTTACAAAATGTTGTCCCTATCTCATGGTCACACATACTAACACCTTACAAAATGTTGTCCCTATCTCATGGTCACACATACTAACACCGTACAATGTAAGGCTGCTATCTCATGGTCACACATAGTAGGACCTTTCAATCTTAGGTCTCTATCTCATGGTCACACATACTAACACCGTACAATATAAGGTTCCTACCTCACGGTCACACATACTAGGCCCTTACAATCTAAGGTCCCTATCTCATGGTCACCCATACAAGCACCTTACAATATAAGGTTCCTATCTCAGGGGCACACATACTAGGACCTTATCTCATGGTCACACATACTAGGACGTTACAATCTAAGTTCCCTATCTTATGGTCACACATACTAGGACGTTACAATCTAAGGTCCCTATCTCATGGCCACACATACTAGGACATTACAATCTAAGGTTCCTATGCATACACACATATACTAGGACCTTATCTCATGGCCACACATACTAGGACATTACAATCTAAGGTTCCTATGCATACACACATATACTAGGGCCAATTAAGACAAGAGCCAATAATTATAAGGGAGGGTATTTAATAATACATCTATATTTATTTATTAGCACACCCACCTTTACTGATGTCTTTTTGGAAAACGATTTCGTTCCTCCTAGCTTGGGAAGTCTGAGCTATAGGCAATAAACTAACATTTTAGTCTCACCAGGTGTTAGCAGACTGTGAAGTCTGCTTTAACATTTTGTAATTCTTTACTAACTATAGTATATACTTGAATTAATGTGAACCTTAACTTCAGCCTAGCATCCGATATATTGTACATATGCTAAGGTAAGGGTAAAAGTAACACATTCAGATATGTTTTACTATTAACAGAGATCACAATACTCCCCCTGACAATGCCTTCATACTCCAGAAAGACAGAACTATCTTTGTTCAGGCATCATCCAGCGCCAGCATCTGCTCTCTGGACCAATTGTCTGACATGGATCAGCCCCTGCTGTAGTCTCTCACCTACTTATTTTAGTTACAGGTTACAATTTTGCAGTCTGGTCACTGGAGGAGAGGAGACTGGATAAATGCTTTCTCCTGTTAGCAGCAGACTGATGACATCATCTCCATCTAGGCAAAGTCACTGGACTAAAGTATAGCTTTTTACTGATGAAGGCCCTGTGTTACACAAACAGGACCCTCCTAACCCTCTTGTCTTAAATTGTATTGTTACTGTACCATCTGCCTTTATTTAGTAAAATGCTTTTTACAAGAACAAGAAGAAGAAAGAAGAAGAAGAAAGAAGGAAAAAGAAAGAAGAAAGAATGAAGAAGAAAGATGAAAAGGAAGAAGGAAGAAGAATATATACAGCTTTAAAAAAACTAAACAGTTGCTATATATTGTGGTATGTCAGCAATTTATTCATACTGACATGTTACATCACTGAAAGGTCCACTCTAAACTAGAACTCTAATCAGGGTAAAATTAAAATGAGTATGTTTCTTCTAGAGGATAAGATAGTCTTTTGATCACATTAGCGTCTGAGGAAAACAGAATCAGAATAATACTTCTGTTTCTAATGACATACACCAGAAGTAAAGGTCTAGGTGTACCCAAGTGCCTCTGCCAGGTTCCCCACTTTTAAAACTGAGAGAGCCACATTATACAAAAGACATCATGGCTAGTGCTAAGATACAATAATTAAAACTGCCCTTATTCAAGTATAAAAAACACAATACCACAATGTCGTTTTTAGAGACATTTCACTGTTATCTTTTTTGTAGCATTTGGTAAAGGACATAAAGCAGTATAACTTAAATGAACACACACGCTAATGTCTTTTCTGGGGAGATGCTGCCATCTAGTGATAGTTTGAAGAATTACTTACATGCGGCAATCATCACTGAGCTTTACAAAATGCTATCATAACATGAGAAAATAGAATTATATCTATACATTATATTAATGTCCCTTTTAAAGTACAAAGAGAAGTATACATATAATAAACATAATGATGGCTGCTATATCATGCATGCATGATCCCAATTTTGTGAGTTTATAAAACGTAATGAGTGTTGTGGGAACATGTGTTAATTCAGCACCACATAATGTATAATCTTCACGTGAAAACATATACCTTCTTAGGAGAAAATATTTAATCTGTACAATAAGCGCTTTTTAGTAAAGGTGTATGTGGCATATAGAATATAGGAGAGGAGATTTAATTACACTCAGAATTATTCTATAACTCACCCAGCTGGATGAACTGTGGCTCACTTTTCACCCCTGGCCCAGCTCCCGTGCTGGCTGCAACCTCCACGCTATACTTGATTCCGGGAACTAGATATGGGATGACAACAGATAAGGTGGAGCCTTCCACTGTTTTGTTGATGTGATAGCGACTCTCATTGCCCAGACACCAAACCTAGAAGAAAATGATATCTAGCATAAAGTCTTAGTAGATTAATTTGTATATTTTATATATCCTTAGCATGGATATAACAAGGTGGTTAGGGTACCACACTTTATTTTAGTAATGAAAAAAATTGCATAGCTATTCATCCAGCAAAGTTGCATGTACTTTCGTTCTGCATGAATCAACTGGCATCTGATCATTAGTTTTAGGGATTTTTTGTACAATGTATAAAGCTGTTGTGGAACTAGAGCAAAATAAAACTTTTCTTAGGAGAAAATGTTTTTAAAGAGTTCAGAAAAAAAAAAAAGATGAAGTAACTCGGACGGCAGGCAGAACTTTTATAAAAGAACCCCTAAGTAATGGCTGTAATAAAAAGGAATGTATAGAGAGTGCATATTCTGAGTTATTACAGTGTATTATTATAGCAGGGTTTTTGTTTTTTTAAAATGTATTTTTGTCTTGTTTATTGCAATTATTTTGGCTCACATATTTTGACAAACTTCCTTTTTCAAATTATTACTTTGTATTTAGTCTATTTGATTCATACAAGGATAAAAGGAGTTACCTTCGATCAGCATATGACATCAGTTAAAGCAACCTTACAAGTAAAAAATAAATACATTGTGTTCCTATTTAACCCTCATTAACCCTAATCAGCCATAATCAACCCCCCCTTTCCCCTTAGCTGTAATTGTTTATTTTAAACCAATACTATTTAAGACCCAATTACATTTGTGCTATATGCCTTGTTGACATGCATTGTGTTAGAGCAGTGGTGGCGAACCTTGGCACTCCAGCTGTGCCAAAACTACAAATCCCAACATGCATCTGCCTCTGGGAGTTATGTCTGTGGCTGTCAGAGCCTTGCAATGCCTCATGGGACTTGTAGTTCCAAAACAGCTGTAGTGCCAAGGTTCGCCACCACTGTGTTAGGGCATAACATTCTTGACACAAGGCAGTATGATGACTACTTATTTATTAGAGACAATTATATAGCACCGACAATTTACACAGCACTTTTGCATACTGCACATTCACATCAGTCCTTGCACCCGAGGTGCTTACAATCTAACGTCTCTAGAGCACACACATACAGGGCCAATTTAGAAAGGAGCTCATTAAACTTCTGGCATGTCTATGGAGTGTGGGAGGAAACCCACACAAGCACAGGGAGAACATGCAAGCTCCATGCAGATAGTGACCTAAGAGGCAGGATACTAACCAGGGACCCCTAGTGCTGCAAAGCAGAATTGATAACCACAGAGTCATGCACTATGATGATATCGCTATTTTGTTTGTCTCTCATTAAAAAAAAAAAATCTCTCCATTACAGATCAGCCCCCAAACCTGATTTTTTTCTTTTGGTTTTCAACACAAACGCTTCCCATCTCGGCATCTTTGTGCACTAAAAATGTGTTTTGCATTGGCAAGGTAAGTTAGAGTGCCATTTAAAATGAATGGCACTGCAACTCACCACACTGCTTACTGTGCATTACCACAACAACTAGGTGTAAAACCAGCCTCAAGGTTTTGTAGCCTGAGATCATTTTTTACAGTTTTGTATTCCTTAATTTTTTAACAATTTCGCAAAGAATTACAATTTAAATGTACAAATGTTTGTTAGTTATTAAAATTTTAACAGTTTTATCTGTTAGATTTAGGAGATAATATGTATTTATTTGTGTGCGCTAATAATAATTTTCATACATTTTTATTGAACATAAATATTTGGTAAACATTTGCACAACTATGATGGGAGAAAATCAGTAGCACCATATTTTAAATAATCTAAAGGCCCTGTGCTTTCAGAAAATATGTGGTTTGCGGGGCCTTTTACTAATTTTCAAAGCTGTAAATGAAAATAGTAAAACAAAAGTGATAAATGGTAAAAAATTATCTGGCTGTCTGGGTTGAAAAATGGGAAGCAGGGCCTGGCAGCGAAAGGCTTAAAACCCTGGTTCTCAACTGGTGGGTCGCGACCCAAAAGTGGGTTGCCACATGCCTTCCACTTTTCTAGGTGAGAGGCTCATCAGCCTCCCCCTAGTCTCCCCCATAGCGCAGCACTGCCAGTTCTTACACTGAGCAGCCATTCAAAATATGCTGCCCAGTGTCAACTTCAGGTGGGGTGCAATGGGGCTGTGGCCGCAAGGGAGCTCCATCCATACATGCATTGCGTCTAGATCCCTCGCATGTCCTGTAGTGGTGCCTAAACTGGAGTAACATCACATTCTGGCTCCTGGCACCTCTACAGGTGCACATGGGAGCTGTACAAGCAATGCACATATGGATGGAGCTCTGTCACAGGACAGCAGCCCGTCTGCCGTGTGTTTCATTGCAGTGCAAATTGGGTCACAACTTAATGACCGAGGGCAAATGTGGGTCCTGAGGTTACACAGGTTGAGAACCACTGGTTTAAAACATATCTAAATCCAAAAACAGATGTTTTATATATTGCAGCTTACCAGCCCATAGATGAGGTGGCTGCATACCTTTTTCAGCATTTATTCATATTACTTTATCTTGGTGATCCTGCCACTAACAAGCGTCCTGTCCTAGGGAAACAACACTCCTGAAATTCCAACGTAGAGCCACACATCCGTCAGTTCATTTTAAACAATCAGATTATATTTAAAGTTATTTTGTTTTTTATGAACATGCGGCTCTACGTTGGAATTTCAGGACTTTGTTACGCCACCATGTATGTTTGGAGCCTGCACCTGATTGATGTGACTTGTTGGGTTGGTGTTGTCCGACTTTGGGGATTGAGTGGTGTATATTTTGAAATTCAATAACACTAAGTAATAGTTTTATATGGGGAGCAGTGTTGCCACCCTAGGCTGATCTCCTGCTTTGGACTACAAACAACTCTCTCATCATCTCCATTATATAGGGGGTGGGGGGGGGTTATAGTTTACAAAGTTGACAATATTGCTTAAGATTTCAGTTCAGTGTACAGCATGTTACAAGGACTTCAGTTTTCTGGCAGGAACAACAGTTTATTTCTGTTTTTAAAGAAAATGTTATTAGGTTAAAAAAAAAACAACTAATGCAGGGACCACATCTAAGTAATGCTAAGCTGCAAACGCTTAATTTTTTTTCTTGTGTTTAGATATCCTTTAACACTTCCCAAATAAACATTTGTCCAAATACCTAACCACTTTTGTCCCTCATTGTCCCTGTGTGTGTTGTAAAGTAGCCACCGCTCCAAGCTCACTCCCATGATGGACTACAATCTCATGTTTAGTTTACTAAATTTCCAGCTTAAAACTAATATCAAACCCCTAATACTTGACCCTAACAAAAAGCAAACAACTAACACCAAGCTAACCCTCTTCTTCAGTAGACTCATCTTGTCCTATACCAGTAACAGAAAGGCTTAAACCAAGCAGATCCTGCCGAACACTACATAGAAGCAACTGCAGCCACTGAGAATAACTTCCAGTGGGAGTGGTCACCTAGACAGGTAATGAGAAATACATATTTTTAATGGGGACATGTACAGCAATCAAAGCACTTTTTGTGTGTGAAAGGTTTATACTTTCATACTTTTTTGGAAAGCCTTTCTCCAAACACATACATACAGTGCACGCCTTGTGCCACAGTGACAGTACTAGGGCTGCAACAACTAATCAACATAATCAATTATTGAAAAAGTTGTCAACTTTTTCAATAATCGATTAATCGGCTTCCGATCAGTTGGCCCTGTTCACGGGTCCACAAACGCGCGCCGCACCTCCTCCCCAACTCACGCTCACCGCTGCCAGACCCGCCCGCATCCGCGCTCTACACGCACCTCAATACAAACTAGTAGTCCATCACTGGAGCCATTTTTTAAAATGTATGTTATTGTTTATCCGATTAACCGATTAATCGAACTTAATAATCGGCTAACTAATCGATTTTGAAAATAATCGTTAGTTGCAGCTCTAGACAGTACATATTGCAAATAACTTAATTTAGCCCTTATTATGGCATCAAAGTCTGTATATAAATAAGAAGGAGGAGATGCTGTGTTCTAATAAAAGATGCAACGTGAAAATTAAAAAAAAAAAAAAACTCTTTAGCATCATCAAAAGCTCAAATATTTACTAGATATTATAAATTCTGTCTTAAAATCAAAGTGACATTAAGCTAATAGTTATCATATTCAGTATATTAAAGCAATTGCATTCTTATGATGTAATAACAGACGCCGTGTTACGCCTGCACAATTTGACTTCCCATAAGATTTGATATTACTGCTCAGATTTTCATTTTCCATTTTTGCCCCTAGATGGAGACAAACAACCATCAACTGCGCGCATTACATTTGTATCTATTGGAATTTAAAATAGAAGGTTTTCGTTTCATCTTTTACATTTGAAATGTCTTGCTTATATGTGTTTTTTTTTAAATAAATGCTAAATGTCAATTGTGTATAAATATGCAGAATTTGTATATATTTAATACATTAAAGCCTATATACTGTGTGTACAGTGAGGGGGATATATCAAAATTGGAGCAGACAAAATCTGGTGCAGCTGTGAATGGCGCCCAATCAGATTCCATCTATCATTTTCACAACATAACTGAACAAACAGAAGTGAGAAGCTGATTGCTTGCTATGGGCAATTGCTCCAGATTCTGACTACTCCAGTTTTGATTAATTCCCCTCAATATGTTTTAATTGGCTATGACATATGTTAGTATGCCATACAGAAACACATTAAACAGCCGGATAAGCAAAACACAGCTTTTATTACATAAAAAGGTCTTACCTTGTATTCTTGGACCAATCCATTCTGGTTTTCTTCAGGGGGAGGCAGCCAGCTGACTACAATCGATGTTCCATTCCCTTCACTCTTTTTGATAGTAACAGTCTGCGGAGGAGCACTGGGAGCTGCACAGGAAGAAATTCAAAATAAATGAAGTTAATGCTTGGAGATGAGTATGAAGACAGTACGCAGACGTATGTGCCACCTAAAAGTCCAAGAATGATTGAAAAAAGGAAAATGATAAGGGACATACATCAGATATGACTGTAGGGGCCTAATCATATTTTCATGTATTAAAACAAATGTGTTTTTTACATTATTTTGATGCATTTTATTACAGGTATTTATATAGTGCTGACAATTTACACAGCGCTTTCCATACTGCACACTCAAAATGCACAGCATGTTCAGCTGACCAATGTGCAGCCGAAGTACGGCTGATTTCAGCCGATGTATGGCTGAAATCAGCCGTACTGAGCAGAAGTGAATAGCCGAACAGCGTTCAGCTCACTTTACTTTGGCTGGGTTATTCACTCGGCTGCCTTCGGCAGCTTTGTGTATAACCCCCTTAGAGTTTTCAGAAAAAAAGGAAGTAACAATTTTATTTTTTTTAATTATTGTTTTATCATTATTATTATATTATATGTGATGTGATTGGGAACATGTAAGAAATATAAAATAGGTGTTATCCCAATTGGGCTGAAAAAGTAGAAATACACTTTATGGATATGTTCTAACTAATCAAGCTAATCTTTATGTTTCAGGTAAATATTGTGCCGTATTCCTGTATAGAAATCACAGCTAATATGCCTGATCATGATTCCTCATAAAATCTGTTATCTCCAATCAGCAAAATGACTACCTGGAAAAATTTGCTTTTCATAACAAAAACAACATTACACAAGCAATCAGTATAACTCGTAAAACACATCGGAGGGGAGCTACCTTCTTCCAAGGTTTTTGCAAATCGCACTTCACTGTCAGCTCCTTGAAACTCATTAAAGAAAGGCCTGGCTTTAACCTCATAGTTCACGCCTTTCCTAAGTTCCGGAATGACTGCGCTATTTTTTGCCGGGGTGCGAACTTCAAATATTGACCAGGCCGATTCTCCGCGATTCTCTGGACTGGGCCTGTAGAGAATCTTGTAACCTTGAATGTACTGTGATTGCTGGTCCACCTAAGGAGAGATAAAAAATACATTCTATATTACCACAATATTGTCATATGGACATCAGAATTATTAATTAATATAATTATATGGGAATTGTCTAATGATAAAAAAAGTCAATGCCACGAATAATCCACTGGCACTGGTTTGTGTAATTTTGCTAATTAGCAACTGTAAAAGCTCTGGGCAAGCATTAGTAGTAAAGCAGAACAGCGGCAATTTTTTAAAATTAAAGAATAAGTGCATTTCAAAGCAAAGTGCACTTATCCTTTAAGCCACACACCCCTGACCTAAATGAGCAAGTATGGGATTGTTCAGGTCAGAGGACGGGTGCAAGATAAAAAACAAAAATGCACTTTGTATAAATACAGTGGGTAAAGGGTTAGAGCCACCATCAGGTTTTTTTCCGATTACAAATGTAACAATATATATAAAAAAAAACATGACATGTTCTATCCTTTCCCCGCTCTATTCATTGCAGAGCATCTCTTAATTTCCTGTCCAGGTGACACAACAGAAACTTAAGGGAACTCCCAACCAGTCTCCTTGGGCAACCATGGTTGTCACATAGGGTGTCTGCCATTGTTTACCTCTATCATATGTGGAAGGGGGCAGCGGCGATGGGGTTAGTAATTTAGACAAATAAGATAACACTGCTTCCAGGTCAGCTTGTATTTTTGGACAGGCTTTTTATCTTTTTTTTTTCTTAACCTGAAAACAATAACTAAAGCAGCCACTCCATCTAAGGACTGGATAGGTGCATTATACGGCATTTTTGTTTTTGAGTTTAGTTATGTTTTAAGACATTTTTAGGCCATCTATCGCCTACCCAAACCACAACCAATTCCTATTTCAGTTGTGTAGAATTGAATTTGAACACAGTGCGCAGGAGCACAGTTGGATGGGATGGTGAGTTTTCATATTCACTTACTGTCCAATGCACTTCAATGGAAGAAGAAGAGAGGATTGTGGGATTGTGCAGGTGTAACACCACATGTCCTAGTTCTCGCTGCACTTGTTTATGATCCACACCCTGAGCTGTAGGAGGGACATCTGGAACAATAATCAGAATGCATCTACTGTTACAGTAGTTAAGTGTTTATATCTTATTGAGGCTCACAATACAAGCTGTATTAATATAGGAAAATAACACACCAGACCTCCTAGAATGCTTTTCTTTATTGAATTGAATATTGTGTAAAATGCCTGATAAATAAAATGATTAGAAAAATAAAGGAAAGTTGACCCTTCATTTTTTTCTTCCTAGTGACAAATGTAAAAAGACAAAAAGCCAGCAACATGGAAATTGCAGCCCTATACAGCCCAACTAAAATTATGAATCAAACCACCCCATAATAATCAGAAACATGTATTTTTCCATTAAATCCTCAAAATTCATCTGCCCTCTAATGCTGAAGAATTACTCACATGGCTTCTGCTGAAGGGACTTGTCAATAAGGCAGAGTTGGCCAATCAGCAACTGCCTGAATGATGTTCCTCTCCTTTAGCAGAACTTGCTCTGGGTGGTTATCTGATCCATGCAATAGAAAATAAAAAGTACGGGCACACAATAAAGGGTCAACCCACCCATAAGTGATATTTTAGTTATAGGTAGACCCTTATGAGTCTTCTAAGTCAGCCCATGACTTCCTATATCTCTTGAGTATTCCAACAACAAGATCTACCTCACTCCAAACAATGGACTACACACGGTTCTACTTCACTGTAAAACTTTTATTGAAATGTACAGCTCACAATCACGTCGTCACCACTTCTCCTACTGCCCACCTCTACAGGAATGAGGATGGGATCAAGACTGGCACCTACTGCATTCCCAAAGAAGGAGACTAGTGTGAGAACGTGAGTGGTGTCCTGTACTGTTTGCACTTCAGTGAGATCTCCCTACCATAATTTCCAACCCGGTCCATCTGGGAGATTTCACATTCACTTTTGTGTGTTGCAGCTCCCCTTGCACTCTCCATACCATAAAATGAATGACACATCCAACAGCACTCTATTATTATGGACACAGCAGGTGTGCAAAACCAAGCCTTCCAGCATCTACCAAATCAGAATTGTCAATCTTGGGTGGACTGACCCAAGAAAGAAAAAGTAAGACTAATGCTCTTGTGGACTGGATGTGCTGGAGATGTGGACTGGAAGAGGGTACAATGCTGCATATATGGTGGGCGTGCCAGGGGATACAGAGCTTCTTTGGACTTGTTTTTGAGGTAGCGGGCAGAGTCACGGGATTAAATTGTCCGGAAACCCCAGAAGTAGCATTATTATCAATGCTTCCAGGTTCGGTGAAAAGGATCAAGGAGGGACTGGTATGCCCCCTACTTGCAGCAGCAAGGACGATAATCCCAAGACACTGGAGACAATCAAAGACTCCCGAGATTTGTGAATGGGTGGTAGAAATGTGCCAAATAATGCGCATGGAAGAAATGACAGCTCGCTTACATGATAGACACTCAACATTTATTGAAAAATGGAGACCATGGAGAACTTTCTTGGGCTCAACTGAGATTCGCCAATACTTATAAGAAATTAATATCGTGCTTCCCCACTTTCCTTGGTCTTTTTTCTTTCTTTCTTTGGGGAAGTATGAAGGGTGGGTGTGGGGGGAATGGATGATGGATGGGTATGACAGGAGCAAGTAGTAGTTCTATTCCTAAGAACTGCTAGGAGCAAAGGTATTAGAAGGAGGTAGCTGTTGGGGGTTTAGAGGTAGTCAATACCTATGCTTTGTGTTATAAGAGTTCTATAAGTGTGTACTCTGTAATGACAATGGAATAGTCCATGAGGTAATCGCTTTTAAATATTCGTTTTTTACTTGTGTCATCTGAAATTAAAATTAACCACAGTAATAGTTGTTGGGCGTATGTGCTATTGTCATTTGTTGTATAACTTGGATGTTAATTTTGTATATGAAAGGCAATTAAATAAAGAAAAATATATTCTTAAAAAAAAAAAATGTTCTTGTGGAGAATCAAAAAAGTAGAAGAAAATCAACACTGGGCTGCAACTTCCTTCTACATTTTTGGAAGGACGAAGTAAAAGATGCCTGTAGGTATGTAAAAGACACAAAAGGAGAAATACTGACTCTGACTATAAAATCCATTTTTTAATATACATATTTAAATCCTGCGCAAGAAAGAAATTGAGCATTTCTCTCATCAGCTACAACGCGCACACCTGCCTTTCCCCTTGCAGTAATCTTTTCACTATATGAAGGGACCAGTGTACTTAGCAACCATTCAAGAACATTGTTTTAGGAGCAGGTCTGTATTGCTATAGATGAGGATAAATGACATGTAGGGGAGAACGCAGTGACATTCCTCCCAGCTGCACTCTGTCTGACCCGTTCAGAGACGTGGTGTGGCCAACAGGAATTTTAGATCTCACAGTGACACCTCTGAATAGGCCAAGCTCGCTGGGAATTTAGTAAAGTTGCAGAACATGAGGAGTTGCAGAAAATAATGGTTTGTGTGAATTCACGGTCGGCAGTGTTCTCCTACAGACTCTTATAAACATTATTATTAGAAATGTTTATGCCACTTTTGAGAATGATGTTTGAGGAATTCTACAACCCAAACAAAATAGCTGGAATTGTTTAGGTCCACTGCCTTGCACAGAGTTTTAGCCTCTTGTTTTTTTTTTAAACTGAACTCCAGGCAGATAAAACAGATACGTATATTGATGAGGTTCTCTTTTCATTAATACGTCATTAAAGGAGAACTATGTGCTGAGTGAGTGATTTCCACTCATCCTCATAGTTAGAGCCGACCTCTGACAAAGAAGCTGTCACAGTCGGGCTGCGGCGCTCTCAGTATATCGCGGGCATATTTGCCTGATGTAAAGAAAGCAGCTTTTTTCTTTCTTTTAAAACACTTTTTGTCAATGCTATTATTCTACTTCCAACTTCTGCTTCCTCAGTGAGAGCCTCTGTTGGTTAGAATGGTTTGGGGCATTACATTGAGAGATGATTGGGGAGGATAGGGGGAATTTTCCAGTTGTGTATAGTTTTAGCTATAGATGTGTATAGTGTAGAGGTTTACAATCATTGGCTTATGGTGCATGTGCGGGTACCTCTAGGCTTTTCATTTCCTACCTGCCATAAGGATTTGCATAAGACCATTTCTTATATGAATCTGCCCATATGAATTGATATTGCTGTTTACCTTGTGTTTTTACAGGATCAGATATTGGACTTGGATCACTCAGTCCATAGGCATTTGCTGCCCTCACAAGGAAGAGGTAGATTGCAGTGGGCTTTAGCCCCTTCACAGCAAACTTTTCAGTCCTGACATTTTCAGCCACTGTCTGCCAGGTGCTCCCAGATGCATGACTAAAATGAGAAAAGCAAAAGCATATAGCAAACAACATGTAAAAATACTCTGCTGAGAATGCAATGTCTTACTACCTGAAAGCTTCTATGATATATGATGTTGGAGTTGCACCAGAATTCAGGTTTGGTTGCCAGGAAAGGGTCACCGTGTTCCTGCTGACATCTGTGACCTCAGGTTTGGAGGGGGCACTTGGGATAAGGTTGGGGTCAGTAGCACGTGGAGGTTGTACTGGAACACCAAATTCTAGGGAAATGTAAAACAATTAATCATTTTTTATTGACTCATAGATTCATTGACACACTGTCATTTTTATACACAGAACCAAGTATACATTTTGGATGTGGAAAATCAATGTCTCTAACCCCCTCTTCTTTACTTTCCTTTCCTCTCACTAATGCCTGCAACGTATGTATTATAAAATTGATTTAAAGGGTTAATAATGAGCATTGACCTGGAATAGAACCTTGATATTTGTTTTAGTTCTCTTTTTCTTCTATTTTGCAAGATATGATTTCTCTAAAAAAATTATCATATATTTTATAATTGTTTGCAATGTATTCCTCTTCATTACACAAGTTCTTTTCTTTACAAGACAAGATATTTTGAATATCATCTGTTCTTTTTATTTTTAGTCTAAGCTGAATGCAATAGTGTTCATTTTTTCACAAGAGGTAGAGCTTTGATCCGGTACCCTATATACACAAAAAAGACTCTTCAGTGTTTTAGTTCAAGTATGAAATATGGCAAATATATTAAAAAGTACATCTTTTGATGTTTGACCTATAAAGAATTTTACAAGTTCCACATCCTATTTATATATTACTGTAACAAAAAGAGAGAGCAAACGTTTCTTTTTCCACTGCCAAAAGTGATCTAACAGGAAGAAGAGGAAAATATATACAGAAAAATGTTTTATTTACTCAGAGCTTTTTAACCCTGGCCAGTTTGACTGCTATTACGGTGACCAAATGACCAGAAACGACATGGCCATTATTATGAGGCCACAGCTGGCCACTGACATCTCAAAGAAGTCTCTTATACAGATGATGTGTAAGAGCTATGTCTATTCCTGACTTGTATACACTGTGAGAAGTCATGTCATGGTTGCCAATAGGAAACAAATATGTTTTCAAAGGAAGAAGGGTGTACCTGATTGATTCTTATGGTAACAATTGGTACAATTATTCCTTCAGACACTTTTAAAAATAAACCCAAAAGGTTGGTTGAAACTGCAGAACTTGAGAAGATAAAAAAGAAAATTCAGATTTTTGACCTACTTAAATTGCTTAGTCACAACCAACACTTTTGGATTCATTTCATAAACTGTGTGTAATAACTGTATAAAGGTAAACTGAATAATGGAAAAGGTTCATTACACAACCGGACTGTGGAAAATGTGTTAATTACTTATCAATCAGTTTATTAAATGGTACAGGATACACGCTTTCAAATGTTGAGAAAGTGCTTGGAAGTGTGAAACATATAAAAGCTTAATCATGTGATTTCAACAGTCCAACTTTGCAGTGAATACTTTATATTCTCATTTCATATTGCCAACCAGATGAACTGGGCCAGCACACGGAAACAGCTAAAACTAAAGAATTACCTGGAGCCACTTGGCTGGTGCTTATCTGTACAGAGATGAAGCAGAGATTATTACACTAAATGGTGCACCAGAACTAGCATATTTAAACTACCTAAGTGAGCATGTTTATTCTGTGGAGTAGGGGGGGCAAGCACCAAGTGGATCTGGCAAATATTAGAGAACACCATGGCAAATGAACAAGGTTTTTCCTGTGAGATTGGTCAGGTGTATACTGAAGAAAAAAACATTGGATCATCACCTGCAATAAACCCAATTTGGTTGATGATCATGTCATGTCTGTGGCTATTTTATCTTATAGCAACTTATTAGATACAGGCGAAACCAGTAACAAACCAATAATTACAGGCAATGTTTCTGCTCTTGAGCCCCACTTGCGATAATGGGGCAATTTCTGACAACTTTGTGGGGTATTAGAAGTTTCTTCAACAGTTGAAGGTACTTGGCACGTTTTTCCCCCCACAGAGAACAGGAAATACTCAAAGTACCGGCAATGAACTTCCACCACTATCAAGGTGGGTCTTGGCATTCAGGTACTACATATCAACTTGTCTTGACAATCTGCAGATAAATATCCCCCCTTAGCCTCAGGGAAATATCTGGCCATCTCCACTATTAAGTTATTTAGCATAAAAAGAAATCTAAAAATGATTTTACATTGTCTGTTTTGATTTCCTACAGATCAAGACTAGGGTATTATATACAGGGTAATGGAGATTTGTGAAAATATCTGTCTGACAAATCTGCAAAAAGAAAAAAAAAACATAAACAGACAATGAAACCTTTTTATTGGCATTGCGTACCTTGAATCTCAATGTATGCACTCCAACTGGCTTCCCCGCTTGGAGTGGATGCAGTGCAGGTGTAGCGACCTGTGTCACTTAGCTGAAAAGAAAGCTTGAAATTAGTATTTGGGGCGGTCAGAAATGCATTGGGATGGAAAAGCAATTACTGTTCCATCTAACAGAGGATGCGCTTGGCTTTGGCTGGAGAGCTATTAGCTGTTCCTGGAAGCCAATTTGTTTCATGACTTCAAAGAAGTGGCAAAATACATTACTTTATTTGTCGAGCAGAATTAATAATAACCTCTATCAGTCTAATTACACAATTACACATGCAAATATTTGCTGAAAGTAAATTCATGTCAAAGGACAGCAGTGGAATGAGTGCGGGATTATGACAATCGCTAGCTGGCATTTAAACCACAGAATACATAATTTTGTTTTATTTTGTGTGTGCATTCGTTCCAGCAATATCAACATTGTGCTACTAACAATACATTCTGCTGGTATTACAGCAGGCACAAAAACAGAGGCGCAGTAAATAAATACTTTGGAATAAAATACAGCACATTTCTGATTAACTAGGACTGGCCAGAATATATTATATGAGGTATAAGGCAGAGACAGCTAGAACTGGTATGTTATTAGTGCTCATTATTTAAAGTGTTTAGTATTTAAAGTGTATGTTCAGACAAAAACTTTTTTTTTAAGCTTTAGATAGAAAAGGATTAGAACCCCTGTGGAATTTTTACTGCTATCTGGGACTTCATTAAAGAGAAATATGGCCTTGCATACACTTTTAACACAGACACAAATAAAAATGCCTGAGTAGAAACCCCCTCAGATTTTTTATTGTTGTCTATGTAGATTTTCCATCACTTGTGAATGTCTGGTGAAACTGTTCTCCTGGATCTAGTATTTAGCTGGTAGTCAGAGAACAGGAACTTCCATTGGATGCTTTTAACATAGTAAGGTCACCATTTATCTCCATTTCCCGGGGACAGTCCTCATTTTGAGGGGTCTGGCCCCGGCAAACAAACCATCCCAGCATTATCTCCAGGAGTGTGTTTCTATATTCACACTGCCCAGGCACCAACTGTTTTCCTTTCCCAGCTAGACGGCACTGTTGGCTTACTGGGATAGTGAGGGTGTTGTAGTCCTCAATGATGGCTGTTCCTATTATAAGACATTGTAGAATGAGATTGCCGGGATCTCTTGCAGGTGAAGTGCTGGTCTGATGTTGGTGGGGCTATATTGCAGTGCAGGGGCCTGGGCTGATCAGAGTGTTATAGCACAACACAGTCTGTGTTGGGATAAACTTTATAGACAGAACATGTTCCTCCCGAGTGCTCAGCCTCCATAATCAAATGATTTCCGCTATTAGAACACTGAAGGTTATTCAGTCACAATGAACAGGGTATTCCTGCACAAAGCAGCATCTTGCTCTATTGCATTTTGTGTCCCTGAGTGATATCTGGATGAATGCTGTATAACAGCCCACAGTCTTGCTCTGCACAGGTAAAGATGAAAGTATGAATTCATAACAACTAAGAATGAATGTAAGCACCTCCCGATGGGCTGTTGTAGCTGAACAGCCAATCATGGGAGCTGTTGCTCTGAGTGACCGTTTTTACATGTGCTTGTTTCATAGCTGTGCGCGCCTGACAAGCACACAATGCTTGTTATTGCTGTGTCATTAGAGAGCACAGAACACAGGCAAAAAATGGGATCAGCTTGGGGTGTCTACTTTCCAAAATGGGGTCATTCTGGTGGTGCTTGTACTGTCTTGGCATTTTTATTTGATATGTTTAATAACAGAAAGTAAGGGAAAGTTTTTTTTATTTTTTTTCCCTTTTTTCCTTTATGTTATAAGAAATTTAAAAAAACCTCAGTGGTTATTAAGTACCACCAAAAGAAAGCTGTCAAAAAAAATCATCATTTGAATACACTGTTGCAAGAGGGAATAATTGTCAGTCAAACTATCACAGCACTGACAACTGAAAGAAAAAAGGCCTGGAACTGGAAAGCAAAACTTTGACACCCTCATATTGATGTGATTAAATTATCTTAAAATATCTATCTTGATTGTTTCAGCTTTGTTCAGAATTTGATTTTCCCTAAGTTAAGTCTGTGATTTACTTACTCTTGACCTCTACACCCTATGTGTTACTTGCTCCTGACCTCTGTACCCTATGGGTTACTTGCTCCTGACCCCTACACTCTCTGAGTTCCTTACTTTTGACCCAGAGCAGGCTCAGGGTTTATTTAACCCCCTTAGGCACTACAATTTGATGTCACGTACTCAAGGTTCCCAAGACAATTTGTTGTTATAACTTGTATAAAGTGTGCCTGCCTGTTGTTTCACCAACCTATCATCAATTGTTTGAGGAAGTGTTAAAATGAGGGCGTGGTTTTATGAGTGTGGCTGCAAATGGGAGTGTTATTTTGTGGAAGTGGTTAAAAGTGATCAGTGATCAGTAGGGTGTCCCTTGATTTTATTTTGAAAATCTGGCAATCTTATCATGCAAGCATTTTCAAATCAGTTTTTAAATAGTCCATTCATTCAACACTAATCAGTTTGCATCAAGCACATTACATCTGTATATCTAATGCTGTTCTTTAAATGAATAAGCCCATTATAGTCTTTATGCCTTTTAGCATACCTTAGCATATCGGATCTGTAATGATCCACTGTCCATCAGTTTCATGCGTGAGTCCTGAGCTGTTATCAGAATGCCATCTTTCCTCCAGTGAATTGTGGGAACTGGAACTCCGGTAGCTATACAATCCAAGATTAGAGTGCCATCCACAGCTACTGTCTGGTTCTGAGGACCCTGGCGGATAACTGGAGGAGGACGGTCAGCCACTACTGCCAAAGTAAACAACAGGAAATAGATGTCTGCAACTGGAAGCAATTTTCTAATCCATCAAGCAACAGTAGTTGCTGTAGGCTTCAAAACAAGCTAAAGATAATTAAGCAAGTAATTAAACCAGAAATCATACATTATTCAGAGGGAATTTTCATGATAAGCACGACACAGAATACTGAAATTGTATCTCTTGTTTGAAGGAAATGATGTGCAGAACTTGCTGGCATTATTCAGGCAAAGAGAATAAAAAAAAAGATTCTGAAATGGAAGAGGAATTCTGAATTCACTTCCAATGATTTAATAGCTGAAAGTGCTGAGTGGTAAAATATAGAGTTTCACTGTTCTCATCCACAAAAATGACACAGTAGGGTGAAAGAAAAACATGAGTTCATCTTGGAAAGATCAGTTTATCAGCTTTTACACTAGTGTAAAAACAGATGTTTGCATGGCAAGCCAGAAAGGAACATCAACACGCTTCTCAAATATATTCTGAATCTTTAGGTGACCATCTTGAATTCACATTTGGCAATAGCCTTAATTGAATATTAAGATCCTTGAAAAGTATATCCTCAATTTACTTAAGACTGCTATTTTTTATTTTTATTTTTGGTTTAGAGATATATTTAAGATTTATATGGATAGAATAGGATTTTGTGTTTTAAAAGAACAGGTGATCTTAACATGATGGACAGTAACGGAATTAGTAAAGGGGTAAAGCACCTTTCACACAGTGTTCCAATTAGGTCTGCCTAGTTTTTTCAGGCAGACCTTATCGGAAGCTCAGTGTTAGTCTATGGGGAGTTGGATGTATACAGACCTGCAATTACACTGGATTGCCTCAAAGTCAGTCAGAAAAAAAACCCAGAAGAGTTCCATTTTGGTGGACCTGAATAGGACAGATCAGAGGTTGTTGGATGTAAACAGATACATGCCCACTTGCATCTGACTCCCCAGCAGGGGATCTTTGCACGGACTCCCTGCTGATCAGAACGGTTGCCACCATTGTGAACAGGGACTAGGAGAAAAGAGCTAGAGGCAATATACAGAAATTCTTTGTAGAAAACTATTTTTCATTTCTGTACCTGACCTTTTGTTTGGCCTCCTCCTGATTTTTATTCCAGATTAGGATTATATCTGTTGTGGGGAGCATTGGATGAGGTTTCTTTTAATATTCCTTAAAATGTTTTAACAACGTTTGCAATTTATACTTTTAACGTATGTTGCTGTTCTACTTAGGGTTTTTTTTTACTATACTATTCCTGTGTAAAGAGTTGCATACAAGCATACCCACAAGTCCATACAAAACTATTTTGGGACTAGGAGCTGTAGGAAGTTCTGTTGTCCCTCATTACTGTCATGGTGACTTGGACCAAAAACTAGAAAGCAAATATTTTATGCTATTGGAACTGTAGATCCTTTTTTTTTCATCAAAAGAAAATAAATTGGAAAATCTATCTAAAGTTTTAAAAATTCTAAAGCATTACTTTTATTTGTGAATACCCTATTAGCAGAAGTAAAAGCAGATTACAACTCTCAAATCTGGCTCCCAGTCTTAAGACATCTGAACAGAAAAGCTTGCTGTGGGTACCCATGTCCCTGCATCACAGTCTATGAACTGAGTTTTTTTAACCTACATAAACGTTGCTTCAATAAACAGTGCCCAAAGGACACTGCTTATTACTTTTAACAAGTTTGTGAAAGAAAAGCAGACATGTAGATATCCACAAAATATCCATTGTTTGGACATTTTGTGGATTTCTGGTGTGATCCAGAGCTCTCCCCTTGGGGTCAATATATTGAGTGGTCATAGCCGAGGTGAAATTTTTATTATCCCGAAAACCCTTATAATTATGGCTTTGCAAATTCCTCATTCCCTTCGCTTTTAATCACTACAGGTTAAACCAGTACTCATGTCTCTACGGCTCACCAAAACCTGCTTTCTTCTATTGATTCTATCCATAACTGAGCAATGCCAAAACCACAGTGTGACTTATATGAAGAACGGATTCTGCTGGCATTCAAACTATGCTGCAATCCATCCCCAAAAAAATTTCATATAAGATCAATAAACTATTTTATCACAAAGGATAATTCTTTCCAGAGCTGATGCTGCTGGAATATTAGTAATGTGGCTGTACAACCGTCGCACCCCAGGCTCCAGCTATGCACTTTGGGGAGCCAGAGAAACCACTTCTGGCACTGACTTCCAATTAGAAAGCCCAAACAGTGCTAATTAGAAGCATGCTCCTCACACAAAGTTGTAAAACAAGGAGATGCTTGGAACAACTCCCTTTTTTTTTGGGCAGAAAGGATCACAGAGATAAGGGAATTGTGTGTCCTTGGAAACAAATTAATTGAAAACTGTTTGTACTTTACCATCCGTAACCTCTAAATAGGCTTTTGTTGTAATGCTGCCAGCCACATTGAGAGTTTGGCAGATGTAGTAGCCAACATCGGACTTCTGGACATTTACAATTGTAAGGTCACCAGTTTGAGACACGGAGAAGCGGCTGGATGACTGTGGAGGCTGGTAGGAGAAGAGCAAATTCTGAAAAACAAAGATGCATTATTAAAGCAACACCATGTAAATCAGTCAGTGAACTGCAAATGCTATTTCTAACACTCCTAACATCTAAAAATTCTCTCAGTTAACCTACTTTTAAATTTGATAAAATCCATTATATCCTGACTGCCTGCTACCCATGGGGTTTCTGGATAGAACGGCAGCCTCTTATTACATGATCTTCTGATGTGCAACGTCGGTACTATGCTCCATATTCATGTGTGCAACCAAGATCTCCCTGATCTTGGAAAAATATATGGTGTTTGAACCAGTGGACACTCTAGCATTTACTATATATTTCCTATAATATGATTTAGCTAGCTAACCAGCTAGTTTCCCAGAATGGATAAGCAGGTGCAAAATAGAGTCACAAACACTTAAAGTGTATCTAAAGCCCAAACTTTTTTAGTTTGGATAGAGTGGTAAGGGGAAAACCCTGTCAGGCTTTTATTACTGTGTACTAGGGCTGCAACAACTAATCGACATAATCGATTATAATCGATTATTGAAAAAGTTGTCAACTTTTTCAATAATCGATTAATCGGCTTCTGATTGGTTGGCCCTAAATATTATTTTTTATCCGATTAACCGATTAATCGAACTTAATAATCGGCTAACTAATCGATTTTGAAAATAATCGTTAGCTGCAGCTCTACTGTGTACCAGTTATGGAGATTAACTCTCTTGCTTGTCCTGGTGACCACTGGGGTGAAGGAAAATCCCAAATGTTGAGTTGTCACCAGAGCAGGAATAAAGAGTGAAATCTTTGAATTGGGACACTTATTCTGGTGACTACTGTTTAAAAGGGCATTTCCCTCACCTGAGAGAGATTTCTGCTCACTTCCTTTTGTGTCTTTAGGACGGGAAATTAAGGCAAATCCCACCCCTCAATGGGTTATAGCAAAACAATCTGACAGGGATTGTAATCCTTCCCATCTATAATCAAAATGAAATGCTTTACCTATACTTTTAAAATGCTATTAGCATATTATTATTATTGTTATTATCATTTTACCTCTTAAGATTTGACCATTGTTGCTGGTTTAGACCTTGTACACATGATGGCCCAAAGGGAACATTTGGTGTACAAAATTTTAGTTAAGTGCAGGTGGCCACTGGTAAAAAGTTTGCTTTGCACCACATTATATTGTAAACTTAAAGATCATTGGATATGCCAACAGCTGGAAAGAATGCTGCAATTGTTACATGGGATCTGAATGTGTATCTGCATCCACGATCTGTATGTTCTCAACGAGAACTGGAATAAAGGCAGAATAGTCAATTCCCATAGCAACAGTTGAATGTTGCCTAGTCATTTACCAAGCAGCTCTGGCTGAATGAAAGCTAAATTTTGATTGTTTGGTATTGGTAACACTTTGACTTTTCTTTGTTCTGGATGCCAGAAATCAACATCTATTGTGGAAATTCAGTTATTTAAGAAGGTAGCAAAATGGTGATATGTGAATGGGGTACCATGCAGCAGCTATAAGATATCAGTGTACTGTATTTAGAAGAATGATTTCTGATTGGATAATCAGTGATGGGAGAGAAGAACGCTGATTGGAATCTTGAAGTTACTTGTATATTACTTTTTGTCTTATATTATGTAGGTTGGGCATTTTTATCGCCAATGGAATAAAAGACAGTGTTTTGTTACCTTTATTAGCCAAGATATTTTTTTGTCTAGCCACCCACGTGATTCATTACTATGAACAATCCTATACTTCATGTTTCCTTGTAAATCGCTCTCAGTATACAGAACCACAGCTATGGAGCATGTTTAACAGCTGTCTATCACTATTTTCCTGTTACCAGCAACCCCCATTTTAATTACATGTAAAATTATTCAATAATTCAATAGATTGCACCGTATCTCCCAAAATACACATGTACGATGCCAGCAAGGTCTGTCGCTATGACCGCATTATCATTCTAATAAATGTACCTCCTCTATTATCTGTCAGGACGGATATGCTGGATTTAAGTTACAGCCGAGACAATAATAATATACCAATTAACAGAAGCAATTCTGTTAGTTCAACCTCACAGAGTCTTCGTTTTCTGTAGATTAAATTAGTAAAAATGAGGATTTGTTTTTAAACATGGAAAAATTCTTCATTTTATGGTACTCTCAGCAGTACGAATCATTATTATGATGCTTGTTTAGATTATTTTTTGAATGCTAATCAATATCTTCTTGTCAATGATCAGAAACTAAACACAAGATATGATGAATACAATCAGACACCTGTCTGTTTCTTTGAGGTTGTCATATTTCTACAGTTTTTATGGACCAACCCACTTTCCGTTTAATCTGACCCTTAGATTCCTTACAATGTGATGCGACCTTCACAGGCTATATAGGGTTTTATGGAGTTTGGTTGCCCTTCTGCATTGCCAGAAGCAATAGCCAACAACAGCAGGGACAGATGTTAAAGAGGTCCAAGTCCTTAGACAGATGGCCACACTAAATGACAAATAGTAACAGCTGACTAATGGTCAGGCTAAGCATGCACAAGCAGATTCTAGGTTTCTGACAGGTAAACGGAGCAATGGTGGACAATAGCAGATGCAACACACCGATGGTCATGATAAGCACACAAAAGCCAGGTACAAACACACTACAAACAATAAACAGGAATAATCCAAAGCCACCAGTATATAGTGAAGGTTCAGGGATAATTGTTATAAAGAGATTATTTTAGGGCTTCTTAGATTGACTAAATGAGAACATGCTTTGTATGCTAAATGTGTGAAATAAAATTCTATTCATTTACATTCTTTCTGCCTTGTGGAACTTCAAAGTGTGTGACTGAATCATATTATATTTTGCTAGATAAAAGTCATCTGTAGATGAAATGTATTTTAAGTAGCGTAAAACACAATGTGAAGTTTTAATTCAATATAATAATAGTATAACTAATAATAGTAACAAAACAATGTTAGCTGATAAAACAGCATTAAATATCACCTGCATGATCTCTCTGGCCAGTGTGGTTTAATTTAGTTATTTTTAAAGGGTCGAGCAAGAAAGATTAGTGTAAAATTGGACAGCTAATGGAAAAAAACTCCATCCACAAACCCAGAGTCTTGAAGCACACCTATTTGAAGCCACAGTTATAGACATTCAACTAGTATTAATAAGCAATAAATAAGCTTTGAAAAAAGCCTTCGCTGACTTCTGTAAATGCAGGTTTTGAGGAACAACTCATATTAAAGATTACAAGAGAAGCAGCCCTACAAGCTGTGATTCTCCTGTGCTCTACCCCTTTTTCTGTGCACCAACTCTCTTTGCAATAGGAATTAGAAGGCTGGCAGGGCAATACCTCACTGCTGGCAGGGGAAGCAACAAAAAAAGCTACTGAAAGAAAATGTTTTTGCTTTAAGTTTTGAGGATGAATTGCTCCACAGGTTCTGCAGCTACAGAGATCCCTGAGGGTCTGGGTTAAAAACATGTATGTATTTGAATGACCATAGCCTAGCCAAAGTTCTACTTTAAGGGGGGGGGGGGTGAAATAATTAGTAGCTAACCCAAATAGAAATATTGAGAAATATACATATTTGAAATAAATAGCAAAATTCAAGACTTAATAAAGCATTCCCTCTATAATGCCCATATTCTTCATATAATGCGTACAAGCCTTACTCCAATTTAAAAGCCAAACTAATAGCATGGAACCGTATAAACCTCACTGATGCAATGAAACCCAGTTGGAAGTTGTATGATAAATGGATGACCTTTAACTGATGTAATCAAACCCTTGTTTATCTCAGAACAACACACATTGAACGTGCAATACATTGTACCTGTCAGATAATGTATGGATCTGCTGCTGTTAATGATGTATGCAGATTTCTTAGCTTAATGGAAGCCATTTTGATATCCATATTTAGCAAGCTGCTCATCTCTGTCAGCCCTTCAACTGAAGCACTGAATGAATATGCTTGATGGCTTACCAACACAGATTCCATGCATCTATTCAGGCATTTACCAGCTACATATATCAAATTGGGTTTATATGTAATGTGGCAAGAAAAAAAATACACAGTACAGTACCTGGCTACCCTCTTTCTGCCAAAAGATGGCTGGCTGCGGATTTCCTGTTGCCTCGCACTGGAATGTGACTGTACGCCCCAAAGCCACAACATGATCACGAGGCTTTACCACGAAATTTGGAGGTTCTAAAAAAGAGAATACAACAATTAAACTCTTATAATAGTTTCAATACCTGGTGTGAGACAGAATAGGATTTTCCTTCCTCATCTGCTGTCTCAGAATATTATGTAACTGAATATCTCCATGGATTGACAAGTTGATCCTCTGTCAACTATCAGTTCATAAAGAGTTTTACTTTCCCTGTAGATTTCTAGCTATACAGGAAAACATCTCTCAATTCATTTTGGCTGCTGCAGGTAGGAAAATTGAACAGAATACTACCAGCACACAGTTGCATTGTGTGCTGCATTGACATGTTTTTTTCACCCATACATTGGGTGAAACCGACTCTATTGCAAACAATGGATTTCATGTCAATGAATGTATTGGAAGATGCAGGAAAATGCCTGACAACACATCTGGTGAGAATGAGCCCTAAAAAGGAATTTAGACCTTGGAAACAACATGAACAAAGTTTTATTATCTGCTCAAGCAGTACACTGACAATCTACCAGCTTGTTCCTCTTATGCTGGTTTATACAGTTTGTATGGTCACTTCATCTACGAGTAAACAGGATGTGTTGGGAACCATATGTTATATGTTTATGGAAATCTACAGCTGCACCTGGAGATGAAATACACAAGGTTTCAGCAAATTTCTACTCTATCTATAAAAAGAGAGACAGATTTTCTTCATTGATATACAATCTAATGGTAACCGCTTCTAGTCTATTTGACTGATTTGCAGGTCTCTATATAATACTTTAGAGCTGAATGCCAGTATGTTAGATCCTCTGTCCAGATTTTCCTGTTGTTTGGGCCCTCACTGAGTAGATTTTCACTTTCTTCCTGTTTTGACACCCATTAGCTGGATAGGAAATAAAAGGAAATGCCCCAATGAGGGCACAGACACCAATAAAAAAGTTTCTATTCCTGACTCACCCTAGTAAAATGAATATGACTTTGATTGCTGTTTGTGTCCCTTTTGAGGAGTTTTCCTCATCTCCTGTTCTGTCTGACGTTAATTACATCAACAGAACGTGAGGTTTCATCCCCCTATCAGGGATATAGACAGCACATAAAACTTATCAAAGGTTCAAACCCTTCTCCATTATATCTGAAGCTAAAAGCTTTGGCTGGAGTTGCACTGTAACCAAAAAATTAATAACTGTGTTGTCAATCAGGACAATGTTGCATTCTATGGCATTCTGCTTTAAAGTTTACTTCCACTTTTGCAGACAAATTGGGAAAACACCTACTTTATATTTGTTTATTGTTCCTATTCACATTGCATAACTTAAAAAAACAAAAAATTGCTAAGTTCATATACTTGCCTAAGACTCCAACCTAGCCCCCCCCCCCCTATTTAATGTTAGGGAGGGGGCTGTGGGAAGTTATGTTTACTCTACTTAACCCTGTCCGTACTGTTCTGGCAGATTTAATTATCAGTTGTAAACTAAATGTGAACTCTGGTCTGTCCTAACAAAGGGTTAAAGACTTAGAAGCATTGCATGTTAATGAGAGGACGATCAGTCTGTCCTTCAAACTGACCCTCTACTTTCACTTTCAAACTACTCAGTGTAACCTGGAATCTGCACAAAGGCCTTCACAAAAATATCTAAAAGACAAAATGTATATACAATGTTTATATACTGTATAATGTTTTAAAATCTTCTACAAATTTTGGCCAGTGAATTTTGTTCCCAAATGTTTTTATTTCTGAAATTTTTTGGGGGTTAGGTTTTGTGGTTGCCAAATGTTGCTCAGTGAAGTTGTTCTCTACATTTTGATTATTTTGCTAACATCCTAAAAGAGATGACAGATTAAGATGGGAAATTACATGGAAGAGGAAAGAAAGATTTGAACACGCAGTATATAGTCATGGAAAATTATAAGCACAGTGGAACGAGAAACCAGCCAGAAGAACTTAGTCACAGCCATAATGGCTGTTTGAAGCCCAAAGCAAATTTTGCTATTAAATCAGCTTTGATGCCCACCCATGTGGAATCCTATGCCTCTATGCTATTTCACTTTCCCCCAGCAAAGCAAAACTTGTACACACTGGAGGCGCCTAGGGATTCTTTAGGCTAGAATACATATTTGCATTCAGCACTGAATTTCAATTTGTGTTCAAGAGCCACTAAGAATATTTTAAGTACCGTGGACTAAAAAGCAGAGTGGTGTTTTTAAATGAACAGATGCAGAAAGCTTAATCCATAACATACAAATATTAGCAGAGTTAATGATGTATCTATTTGCAATAGTAGGTCATTTACAGTCCAGTACCTGAGAACCTCCATTATTATGTCACTCCTCCTCACTTACATAGTAAAATAGCAAAAGGTTTTCCTGGCACACTCACAAGCTAGCATGTAAAAAAAAACTTGTCTCACACTAAGGTTAAAAACAGAGGTTTGGATACACGTCTTCTGCAGAAAATGTGAAAGCCGCACAGCCGCGCCAAGGCACCTCTTATAGTGCGGGCCTAACTCTTAACTATCAGAGCCTCCATCTTGGAGCACATGGGCAGAAGATAAAATTGGGTGCAGGTTTGTCAGGAGGAAGCCCAACCCCCTTAAAGGCACAGAGGCGCACAAGGGATCCCGCACATCCCAATGGCAGCTGAGACCCCCCATGCATCACTGCACCAAAACAGTCAAGCAAACCAGCTACCATTGGGATGTGCGGGATACCTTAGTACGTCTCTGTGCCTTTAAGGGGGTTGGGCTTCCTCCTGACAAACCTGCACCCAATGTTATCTTCTGCCCCATGTGCTCCAAGATGGAGGCTCTGATAGTTTAGAGTTAGGACCGCACTATAAGAGGTGCCTTGGCGCGGCTGTGCGGCTTTCACATTTTCTGCAGAAGACGTGTATCCAAACCTCTGTTTTTAACCTTAGTGTGAGACAAGTTTTTTTACATGCTAGCTTGTGAGTGTGCCAGGAAAACCTTTTGCTATTTTACTGTGTAAAGCCCATTCCGTGTGCACCTTACTGTAAAGCTGGTGACGAATTGATGAGTGCGTTTGTCATCTGTTTTGCTTGACTGTTTTGGTGCAGTGATGCATGGGGGGGCTCAGCTGCCATTGGGATGTGCGGGATCCCTTGTGCGTCTCTGTGCCTTTAAGGGGGTTGGGCTTCCTCCTGACAAACCTGCACCCAATTTTATCTTCTGCCCCATGTGCTCCAAGATGGAGGCTCTGATAGTTTAGAGTTAGGACCGCACTATAAGAGGTGCCTTGGCGCGGCTGTGCGGCTTTCACATTTTCTGCAGAAGACGTGTATCCAAACCTCTGTTTTTAACCTTAGTGTGAGACAAGTTTTTTTACATGCTAGCTTGTGAGTGTGCCAGGAAAACCTTTTGCTATTTTACTGTTTAAAGCCCATTCCGTGTGCACCTTACTGTAAAGCTGGTGACGAATTGATGAGTGCGTTTGTCATCTGTTGTGCTTTTCCTTCTCACTTACTGCACATATTACTGAATGGACCAAAAGAAGCCCCCATTGCATATTGTGAAGCTATTTTTCTCTGGTATAGCAAAGGCATTCTACTAGGCTAAACACAGAAATAAAAATTAAAATGTCATAACATGGACTGGCTGGAGTCTGGTTTAAGACCTTAGGAATTAGGAAAGCTATAACACACCCACATGTGGCTGATGTATTCTGCACTCCTCAGCAAACTGACATCTGATGGTAGAAGTTGTATTTTTGTTTGTTTGTATAATGGTTAGCAGAAGTGTTAGAAGACTTGGCACAGCCCATACACCAGCAATGTCTGTGATGTATTACCTTTTTTGACCTTCTCACAATTACCAGTATTTTGATTGGTTGTTGGGGAATGGAGGACATTGATGAGGAGGAGCTGGAGGCTGTTCCAGTCATGATAATGTGATGAATGAAAAACGAAGAGTAATAAAATTCCAACTTACCAAACAGAACTAAAAAATAAAAAGGAACATAAAAGGAAAATATGTAAAATTCTAAATTAAAAAAAACTAAACAAAATGACAAATAGCATGCATGTAAAGTCGATGATTAAATTAAAAATAAAGAACAAATGTAGTAAAATAAATGGGGGAAATAATCAACAAAATAATAGCATTTTAGAAATCTTTAATTATATAGCAGCAGAGAACACAGGTTTATCCAGTGTGACTGATATGTGAACATAAGGGCAAAATAATCCATGTGCTCCATAACAACCAGAGCCCTATTTTAATTTTTTTTCCAATGGAGAAGCAAATTAAATAAATAAATCAAATGGTTGGCTATTAGTAACATCTGAGGTCTACTAGTTTTCACAAATATGTCACAGTACTTGCCATCATGCCATAATGTGCATAATGTGGTGAAATTTCACTTTGCAAAGAATACCCAATTATGGGCGAGAAAAAAAAAAGTATGTTTGCTTACACATGATTGGTCAAGTCAGCAGAGCTTTACCTCATTCATTAAACTAAGGGGTAACGCCCCCTGCAAAGGGGAAATTCCTGTGCAAAGAGAACAGCCTATTTGTCTTTAGTAAATCATAACCTAAGGATATACATTGGGCACAGTCCACATTAATTACTTCTGCACCCCAAGTCCAGTCAGTCTGTACCCCTCATTCTTTAATTGTTCATCATAATGGCAACATATTGTAACATACCTTAGGCTGAACAAAACTTTTTTTCTACATTTAAAAAAAAAAGTGGAAGAATCTAGGTTAGGTGTTTTATGTTACTATGTTCCTCCTGGGGATGTTTAGCCTACTTTTTTTTGGAGGACAGGCTATTTTAGACAGCAGGAATACCCTTTGGAAGATTTGCCCTTACTGCCTATTCTGGTAAGAATGTAACATTTTGGATTGCCCCTCATTTTCTATTCCAATTAAAAGGGTCATCAGGACAACAAGTTAAAAAAGTCTTCCAAAGGGGGATACTATGGCAATAAAACCTGACAAGGGTTCTTATCTTTACCCACTCTATCCAAAACTAGAAAAAAACATTTTTGGATGCCCTTCAATTTTAAATGATGTTCCTAATCA